GAGTGAGGATCCAAACGCAGAACTGCAGGAAGTCATCGACACACAGGAGAATAAGGGAAGGACAGAGAAGAAGAACGAAAACAATCAGAAAACAATAAAATGACAGGAACTGCGTACCTACCAGCAGTTTCTATGAGTGTGGACGGACTAAATGCTCCGAATGGCTGAAGACAAAGCGTCACCTTTGCACAGGGCAGCCCTGCTCAGCTGCGAGGAGGGGGAGCCCCTGCAGTCACAACAGCGAGGACGGACCTGGAGATTGTGGTGCTAAGTGAAGCTAGTCAGACAGAAGGACAAGTACCTCATGGTTTTTCTTATGTGTGGAATCTGAAGAACAAAGTTAACAAAACAGAAACAGACTCTTAGAAACAGAGAACAAAGGAGGGGTTGGGGTGTTGGGTGACAGGGTGGAGGGACTGAGAAGGACAGATGGGCTGTCACAGAACAGCCCCGGGATGTAAAGTCAGCCATACTGTGACTGTGCATGGTGCCAGGTGGGCACTGGGAACACTGGGGCAACCCTCTAAAGTGTACGACTGTCTAACCACTATGCTGTGCACCCAAAAGTAGTACATAATACTACTGAATCTCAACTGTAATTGAAAAATAGAAATTAAAATTTTAATTAAAAAAAACAATAGTTACCGGTGAATTGGCCCTTGGGTGGGCTTGATGAGATCCACTTTCGCCTGGCCCCAGGTGGGCCTGCTATGGTGCAGGTGGGCGGTGGGGCCCCTGGGGACCCAGCCAAGTGGTGCCCATTGGGCTTGGACTCTGCGGGGCTGCCTGGGTTGTCTTCACAGGCTAGGCTTGCTTTTTCCTAGCAGTTGCATTACTAGACACCTGTCACCTGCAGCTGCTTGGACCTTGGGAAGCCGAGGGGAGTGGCCAGGCCTCTTTGGGTGTCTCTGTGGCAGGAGGCGCTGATGGTGGCCCCTTCCATTGGGGGCCCAGGGGCACTGACGGAGCTTGGAGAGCCTTTGTCCTACGGCGTCACACATGAGCATGGCCCAAGCCCCAGCAGTTGCCTGAGGACAGATTTTCAGCCCACCTTTTCATCTTCCAACTCGTGGTCATACATGAGTTAGCACTGCCCACAATGACCATTCCCAAAAGCTCCACCGCAGAGTCTCTCTGCTCTGGAAGGGCGGGAGGTGAGTATGTCTGGCAGGAAACCTGTGGGCGGGCCAGGAGCTGGGCCAGCATCCACCCCGGCCACAGAGCTGCCCTCAGTAGCGGGGCTGTGTTTATGGGCCCTTTTCAGAGCAGCACTTGGATTTCTTGGGTGAAAGGAAACTTTAAAGCCGGCGTGGCAGCCACAGTGGCTCCTGTTGGTCTTCCTTCACCCACTTGGGTTATGCTGGATTATGTTCTTTTCTGCAAACGTGCAGTCACAGAGTGTCTTAGACGTCTGGTGTGACTGCACCCCCACAGAGATAGCACGGCACAGCCGGCTTACGTTTTTCTGAGCAAACACACACCTGGACATTAGGCACAGTTACCTGAGCCCCGTGGGACATTCCTCAGCCCTTTGGTTGGGCAGTTCTTTTGTTACTGTTTTTTCACCTTGGGGACAGCAGAGGTTTGCTGAATGGGTGGTTGACGCATGTAGGGGCGAAAGCCGGTTCGGAGGCCAGTGCTACTCTGATTATTCAGCCGGATGCTGCCGCGCTCCCAGACTCTCATTCCTCTCTGCCCACCAGCATGTTAGAATTTTGTTGGGGAGAGTGCCGCACCCCCATCCTGGGCCACCACAGATGCTCCAGCGTGTGGAGCTGGGCCGGGGCCTGGTGAGTGCACAGGCGTATTTTTTCAGGTCTCTTGATGGCTCCAGTGAACAGAGCTCCTCGTCGAAGACTGTACTGAAATGCAGTGTTTTCCCTTTCCTTCCTCTGTCAGGTCACGCACCCAGAAGTGGCATGTGTGTGGCAGTTCTTTATTACTGTAAAGCGTGCATTCTGTAGATGGAGAATTGCCTGAATTTTAAAGGATGTTAACTGTCACTTTGGTGTGACACATGAAGCTCAGCTGGTCTCCGCTCTCCCTCTTACCTCCTGTCTGTTCGGGGGAGCTCCTTGTCTTCTGGGGAGAGCCCAGCTGTGGGGCTGCTGAGGGCTGTCAGTGTCCTCGGGGCCTGCCGTCCAGTGTCCACGGAGTGAAAGGCTTCGTCTCCACTCCTGGGGGTGACGGTGGCTTTCAGCTTGGCTGACCATAGATGCGGGAGCTTCTGTTCACTTCTCCGATGGCGGAATCTCTCTGGGCAGGAGTCTTCCAAGTCCCCCAGGGCAGTGGCAGGCCAGAGCACAGTGGTGTGGAGCAGTGCTGGCCCGCGTCCCCGTATCCAAACTGCAGACTCACTCAAGTCTGAGAGAATGAGGACTGCAGTGGGGTCTGGTCCCTGTGGAGTGGGTGCCTGCTATGTCTGGGAACATGGGTGGAGCTCATGCTCGCCTGCGTCTGTTGTTAGTGGCAGGTGGGGGCGGGGCAGGGGGGACAGACCCACCCCCTACCAGGTCCTAACATAGTGTGAGCGTGCCAGGTTTTGGGCTTGTTTTGTGTGATTTGTCACATCCTGGTTAGCTCTCTGAGCATTTGACATTGGCCTGTCAGGCCGAGTGGATAGCTTTTCCGTTGAAGAATCAGCCCATCTATCTAGAGAATGTTCTTTGCCTGTGTGGCACTCTCCAGCCCCCTCCCTCCCTCTTACCCTAAGGCGCCTTGAGTGCCTGCTTACACCTTGGGTTTATGCCACCCTGGCTTCTCTCTTTGGGACAAAGTGCTTTTTTTTATTCATTTACTTCCAGATCTGTTTATTCTTTCCTACGCTGTACAGCAGCCCACTGTGGGCTACACGTTGCATGGGATGAGCCCTTCCCTGTTCCCTGTGATCCCAGGCTTGGTTCAGCTTTTCTGAAGTTGTGTTGTGTGGGTTTACCAGCCCCGCCAGCATCAGTTCTGCTTATAGATTTACTCAGAAATACTTTACACCTGTAACAAGTCTCGGTTTTGACGTCGTGTTTAACTGGCCCCAAAAGAGCAGGTGTGGAAAGGCAGCTAATTGACATGTTGACAAAATCAGCCCCCAGGTGTCACATAGGAGGGTGTAGAAGATGAGGGGGCGCAGCGTCTGGGGGAGAAGCCGCTGAAGCCACTGTGGTGGGCTCGGGGGGGCAGCACTGCAGCTGCAGTGGAGACCTGCGTGGACGGACGGCTGTAGAGCCTGGGCCCTAGGGAGCGCTTAACCCACCAGAGGCCAGAGAGCAGCCCTCTCGGTGAAGCTGGGTCGGTGGGGGCATGGGTGAAGGTGGGGAGAGCCGGGGAGGGGAGGGGAGGGGAACCAGGACGCTCAGAGCAGTGTAGGAACACTTGTTTGGTAATGTGAGATGCTCAGGCGGCTCACACACTTGGCCTTGACTACTGGAAGTAAAGATAAGGCGCTTGGTGAGTTTCGTGTCTGCTCTCGCTGAGAAGCGTGGGCATGGGTGGACATAACCTTGATCGCTCATTACTCCCTCCGCCGCCTGAATCTTCCCTTCTGCTCAAACCCAGGTGCAGCACACTGAGTGATCCTCGGGACTGGCAACCCCTTACTGACACAGGGTCCGGATTGTTTTTGATATTACCAAATACAGTGATTAATTCTAGATTATCTTTGGTTAACCATTAAATATGACATTTTATTCCCATGAAATAAATTATACAGATCAACTTAACTAGAGCAAGTCCTTTACCATGGTTCCAGCATTACAGTTTTTATGTTTTTATAACATGTAATGAAATTAATATTACCTATGTCCTCTGTTTCCAAAATACAGCATGTGTGTGTCCCTATTTGAAAGGCAAAGGTGAAAAGTCTTTAAAGGATTCAGCAGATGAACTGTTTGTAATTTGATTATTTAATTTTGCTAATAAAGGAAGAAAATCTGTGCTATATGTTTGAAAAATGAGGAAAAAAACAAAAACCATCCTTGGCACTTCCTTGCTCAGCTTCTGTCCTGGGCCTTGGAGTCCAGACCCTCGCAGGCTGCTGGCCATCCTGATGGGCCATCAGGGCCGCTGGAGGGGGTTTGGTGCCCACCCTGCCTGCTGACAACATCCATCAGGACTATGCACTGAGGGCTCTGGTGTTCCCTGGGGTCTCAGAGCCCCGTGGTGCTTCGTGTGCGCTTGCTTTCCTGCAGTACATGGACGGGACTCACTCTCGTTTGATGTGATGGTAGGAGCCGAAGTCTCCGAGTCACTGTCCATCCAGGAAGATCTTGGCATTGCTCAGTGTGGGAAGAAGCATTTGGCTTCTTTGGGATGATTGAAGGTCTGATGCTACCTGGCTGAGTTGGAGAGACAGGCGGCCGGGTCGGTTTTCCACAAGGTAACAGAGCCGACTCAGAGCCTTGGACCTGCCCGCCTATACCTACTGTCTGCGGCCCAACCTGCTCTGTGGGCTTCCTGTCCTTGAGGATGGCAGCACACGGGGCTGGCATGCTTTTGTGGGGGGAAGGACGCTGCTCCCCACCAGGTGTGGGTGTGCAGAGTGGGGCTGTGGCTGGATTTCAGCTCCCTTCTCCCCCCTTTCCCCACCCCCAACAGGGGAGCTTGCATGGCTGCTCTCGGCGGCTAGAGCAGGAGCCTGGCATTTACGGAGCATCCTGAGCTCTGATGCTTGCACGGGTGTGTGTTTATCCTTTGTTGCTTGTCACCCAAATGAGTTTCGCTGCAAGTGGTGAATGTCTCCGAGGTCCCAGGTCCCAGCCAGAAGCAGGAGCAGCGGCTGGGAGAGCAGCACCCTCACCTTTTCGTGAGAAGGAACCCTGCCTTCTGCCCAGTGTCCATTCAGCTTTCAAAGGAAGCTTCATCTCCAACCAGGGGCCTCCTCATTCATCTCAACACCCACATTTTTTCCAAATTGTATTTGGCCCCAGAGCACAACACAGTGCGCTCTGTCACGGTTAGTGATGGTAAGGGCGGCATCGTGAGGAATCCCGCTCCTTTCCTGACCCTAGATCTGTGTCTCGGGAGCATCTGGAGCTGCTGGCCCGTGGAGCTGAACCTGCTGATGCCGAGTGAGGTTCCAAACCACGTCTGTTCCCACTGGGAGCTCCTGTCTATCTGTGGAGGTGGGAACCTGCCTTCCCCGGGTGACAGAGGAGGCACTTCAGGAGCCGGTGGCATTGACCTGGGCTTCAGACCAAGGCTCACAACCGGCCTTGAACCTTGTCCTCTGCATCGTGTTAGCTGGGCCAGCCAGTTACCCCCGGTCCCCAGTTTTCTCGTCTGCACAGTGATGGACCCTGAGAGTTCAGGTAAGACATAGTCCTTGGCCCTAGGACACAGCAGTCTGGGGTGACGGTCCTCGGAGGACAGTGCAGCCTCCAGGGGCCGTGAGAGAGCTGCTGTGGGACTCGGTGAGTCAGCAGTCTGTCTTCTCCCAGCAGGTGTGGGACCGCAGCAGATGGGGGAAAGCTGGACTTGGGCTTTCTTTATTTAAGTGAAAAGTGTTCTTTGAGGATTGATGGGCGCCCGGGAGAACCACAGAAGAAGAGTGGGGAATCTCTCTCTGGCCCCGTCAAAGCAGTGACAGGACGGGGCAGGGGAGGTCACAGGCAGGATTTAACCGTTCAGCCGCAGCACCACTGGTGGCTCGTCGTGTGAGTCAGCACCGTGGTCTCCTGTCTGCCAGGAGTGTGGTGTGAGGGGACCTCTGCCCAAGGGTTCCAGGCGGGGCTGTGCAGCTCCCTCTGCTCGTCAAGCCTCTGCTTGGGCTACTTGCTCAGAAGCACGTCCGTGACCACCTTGTCGGGGGTCCCCGCCTGTGTTTCCTGGCCTCCCCTTCCTGGCCCTCTTATTTTGTAATTACGTGCTTGTTTGCTCACCTATTTATCATCTGTGTTCTCCACCAGTCAGCACACCCCCCGGGAAGGGCATGCGTGGGTTCCCACTCACCCCCAGGAGCATAGTGCCATATGCATAGGTCCCAGCAGAGGCTGTGCCCCCGACGAGTGGTCCGCTGAAGGAAGGGAAAGGCAGCAGAGAAGGCATGTTGGTCTCCTGCCTGGACAGCAGCTGCTCCCTGTTTCCTTGTGGGCACCCAGAGGTGGCGGCGGCAGCACCAGCCTATAGGGCCTATGCCAGCGGCTGGCACGGTGACGTGGGCCACGCCCCAGGTTGTTACAAAATAGACTTGCCGTCACTGTAGGGACTGAGGCTTCCATGAGAACAATGGGGTTAAACGGCCCCACTGGGGGAGGCTGACTCTGCACAGAGAGGCTGCTTTTCGGATGCCATCCTAGTGGGACAGTTACTCAGCGCCTCCTGCCCTCACGTTGTCGGCTTCTGTCTCCCGAGAGGCAGACCGAGGCCCTTTGACAAACTCTACTCTCTGGATCAAACACGTACTTACATTCACTTTTCTAGAAGTGGGTCTCCTCTGTGCCGGAAAGGGGACCTGAGAGGGGATGCTTCCCCTCCCCCCAGAGCCAGCGCTGCCCCAGCCATCTCGGAGGAGGGGCACAGCAGTACCTGTGGCCATCCCCTCAGGCCCCAGGCCCCTAGGATTGTAGGCTGAGTCCATGAGCCAGCAGACCAGTGTGCAGGAGCCCTGTGCTTGGAGTGCAGGAGACAAGGTCTAGGAAGTTGGGGTGGGCCTGACCAGCTGCCTGGCCAGAGGAGGTGCCTACAGGTGGCCCTGGGCCTCCTGGCCATGGGTGGCTCTGCAGGATGCGGTGGGTGTAGAATGTCACCTTTCAGCTGTTGGGGACTATGCCACCTCATCTCACGGGTGCTGCCTTGAGCAAAGATTAATTAGTCTTCCTTAGAAAATCTTTGGTAGTTGTTGGCTTTAAGCCCAGAGTGGTTGGAATTTTGGAGCCCAGAGGGCTTGTGGCAGTTGGTCTTGGAAGGAAGGGCCCTGGAGTTTTGGCTGTCCTGCAGCACCCCCGGCTCAGGCGCGAGGCCATCCCTGGGGCCGGGGGTGGCGGAAGCAGACATCGTGGCTGTGTCCATCTGTGAGTCTGCCGGGGTACTGTGTGGGGGCTCTGCAGTGTTCCGTGGGCGTAAGGCCAGGGACCTGGTCGCAGTTCTTTGGATGTTTCGTTTCTAACCAAATGGGCCCTTCCCACTGTGGAGGGTCTGCTGCAGGGTGGCCAGCAGTGTGTGCTTGCTCAGCAGGAGTCGGAGGTGGCGAAAGGGTGGCTTGGAAAACCATGCCGACATCCCCAACCTTTTAAACTACTTTGGGAGGGAAAGTACTGGGAGGGCAAAAGTAGCTTAATAATAAGTGAATAAATAAGTAAATAACATACAAGAATAAACTCTGTCTCGCATCCTCACAACTATAAAACCACTGTGCCCACCCTGTGTATCCTGTGGGGCTGGTTTGACATCAGCCCTCTTGGTTTCTCTCTGCCTGGAGACAAGTGGGGTCTTCACCACGAAAACTGCGAGATTAATCAGCCTTGGAACCCTCCCACACCCTCCCGGTGCTCAGTGGGGGCCCTCTCCCTTGTTGGAAAACAAAGACTTTTTCCTCTGTTAGCTGCCCACCTCCCAAAACAGCTTCTTCCCAGTCTTGTCTTGTGGCCAGCCTTCTCCAAAGAGCACATGCTTGTCCTTGGCTGTATGTCCCCCGTCTGCCCCCATGTCCACCTCTGGGAACTCTGAGGCATCCGGGGCGTCTTTTCTCCATAGAGGCATGGCAGCGGACACCTCTCCGTCACAGCACTGCAACGCAGGGGCCCTCTGGTACGTGAAGAGGGGAAGGTTATCCTGGAATGTGCCTTGAGGACAGGGGCCCTTCCACAATGAGGGACTGTCCTGAGTTATGTGAGGGAACTCAGCTTGGACTATTGCCTGTTCTTCTCTTACCTCTGAATCAGTTAATGACGAACTAATGATCCCACACACCCCTCTTCTGCTTTCCTACAAAGTCCGGTGACCTCAGATATTGTGGCTGCAGGGAGCCTTTGATTTGAGGACAGTCAGGGTGTTGGGGCAGGCAGGGGGGACGTGTTGGAGGGGGTGTGTCAACAGGTGAGAGGAAGCCCGAGGAGGAGGTTGGGAGAGGTTTTGAAGACCACGCGGTAAGGCAGCAAGTCCCCTGTCTTTGGAGTGGCTGGCGTGTTGTGTGACGTATGTGGGCCGGCTGGTAGGACCAGGTGATCCTTCCTGCCCCTGCAGCATTCGCCAGCCTTTGAGTTCTGTTCCTGGGCCTTCTCCTGAGGGGGTGGGTGTTCCAGGCCTGCCTTCTAGACCTCCAGCTGCAGTTGCCACCCCTGGAGAGGGAGGCAACTGGGATACTACTTTATAGCCTCTGGGGGGCCTTGCGTTGCCCCCAGCAGCCTCTTCGTTGGGCATTGCTGTACGTTTGGGCTGCTGTGGCCCCAAGGTCGCCCTGCACCCACTGCTGCATGGGCATCCAGGCAATAGAACCGCATGCAGCACCTCCCACACGCCTGGAGCTGGGTACCCTGTGCCGTGTGCAGGAGGCTGGCGCCGCTCCTGGGGAGAGCAGCACGGGCTGTGCTTTGCCAGACCAGAGAGCCTCTGCAGGCCTTGCTCTCCTCAGAGGTGACCCAGGAAGGCTTTGCTCTGGGCTCCCTGAGGGGCTGCTGGAGGCTGAAGCTTCAGGCTGGGATGTGCAGGCAAGCCCGTGTCAGCCACTCAGCCTGTCCGTGGCCACTAGGAAGAACTGCTGTGGGACACGACCGGCCCCATTTCGAAGGAGCAGACGCAGGGGCACGTCGTGAGAAGGGAAAGGTCCTGGGTCGTGTGTTCTTGCTGCGTGTGCTTGGAACTGCATGGCCTTGGGCAGCTGGGCGGCCCCCGTCCCCGAGGGCTCGGCTCTTGGCACTCTAGAGGCTGGGGGCCTCCTGAGGAGCTGTGTTCTCCAGTGGCAGCCAGCGGGCCTTCCAGCGTGCGGCCTTTTCTCCTGTCTAAGTGGCAGACAGTGCCTCGTGGCCATGGTGACGTGTGGGTCTGATGGCTCGTGACTCTCAGTCTTGGCTGTTTCTGCTGTTACTGGTGGAAGTGCTTCCGCCTTGCTTGTCCTAACATCTCGGTTTGGCAGACAGATGGGGTGGGCGGCAGGGCGATGTGAGCAATGGGAGTGTTGGAATGCTTTTCTTTCAAAAACAGCTGTCTGTGCGCTCTCCTTCTGGATGCGAGTGGCCGTTTATGTAGCCTGAGGGCACCTTTTGTTGCTGGGATGACGGGCTTCCTGACAGTCGTCACACTGACAGTCGTCACAATGCGGCCATTGGCCGGGTCTGCTGTGTGCCTGGTGCCGCCGGCCAGTGCACGTTCGTGAGCTCAGCCCCTGTGACTCACCCCGCAGACCACCCCAGGCCTCGTAGCTCCGTCTGACTCCTGCTGTCCCCCCCGCCGGGGCCAGGCTTGCTGTCGGCCATCACTTTCGCTGGGTGTTCAGTTCTGTCCGGACTCGGACAGAGAGTTTGGATGATGACCACGGGGCAGAGGTCGCTTCATTTCTGACGCACTGTTTCTCCGTGTGGGAGTGACTTTTCCTGAAGGTGTAGGTTGTTAGCAAGGAGAGTAAAATAAAAAGGGGCAGAGCATGTCCCCTAGGGCTGTGTGGGGGTCTTTCAGGATCGGAGAATTGGAAGGGATCTCAGGGCCGGGCTGGCCCAGGCTCCTGTCCAACCCCTCTGGAGGGCCCTTCCACAGCCCGGGGTGCGTCCAGGGGTGTGAGGACCCGCAACGAGAGGGCCACATTCTTGCCGTGCTCTCACTTGTAAGGACCCCCTCCCTCGCTGCCACAGCACTGAGCACCACCTCTTGGGTAGCACGTCAGGCGTGTCCTCTCTCCCATTCTCCTCGACCCCCAGCCACGAGGACTGGTCCTGCCAGCAGGGCTGCTGGGTCCCCATATAGACCCCATGAGGGGCTCACATTTCCACTTGGGGTCCGGCCACAGGTGCGAGGATGGGAGGGGTGGCGTGCACGTGGGGCAGGTGACCTGCCATGTGCCAGCGAGATGCCGAACCGGGGGGCAGGAGTCAGGAAGGAGCCGAGGACGGGCCCTCAGAGCTGAGAGAAGCAAGAGCACCCGAGGAAGACTGCTTTCCTGCCGTGTCTGAGCTCGCTCCTCAGTGCCCAGCGGGGCTGATCTGAGGGGCTGGCGTGGGAAGCCGAGGAAGGGCCTGCTTCCCGACCATCTGAGCTGGTCGTCCCACTGCCCCCTGCACTGAGGCTGCGGTTCCCGTCTGCAGGTGCACACACTCGTTTCTGAAGACATTTCCCATCCAGGTTCCAAAACAGGCTGCCTCCACCCACCCCCGAGATGTGTGTGCGCAGGCCGGGCCTCTGCGTGCAGGGACGGGACGGGTGCGGCTCACAGTGGGTGTCCGGGACTCAGAGGCCGCATGCCGCCCGGTCTGCCGACAGCATGGCTGGCGACTGGGACCAAACTAGACACTGCTTTTGTGCTCTCGAAGTTTAGCTCTTACTACATTGTTCTGTTTCTCTTGCTTTTCCATTTTTAAAGTTAACTCTCCCATCCCTCCAGTAACCACTTGCCCGTTCCAAGAGCTGCAGGCTGAGTGTTCTCCTCACCAGCCCGGAGTCAGCGGCAGCTGCCTGTTTACTCTCGTTGTCAGTGGAAACATGAACTCGCCCCTGCAGGCCCCTCACAGGCGTCTCTCTGGCGCCCTCCTCCACGCTGGGCCTTCAAGGCCTCTGAGGCAGCGTCAGCCCTGTGGGACAGGTGGGCAGGCGATCTCACCTCCTCCTCCTCTTCCTCGTCCCTCCCCTCCCCTCCTCAGGCTCCTCACCCTGTCCCTTCCGTCTGCACCTGGGCATTTCCATCCCAGGATGTCTGACATCTTCCCACCAGGTTTCCTGGTCTCTAGGTTCCTGTGATGATGACGCTGATTTTCCCAGGATCCTGGGATGTGGCAGCACCCAGCGCTGGTCCCAGAGGGGCAGGTTCTGGGTCTGACCTTCAGGACCCGCCCTGCCATTGCTCCTGCGGGACGTGGTGCCAGATGCGTCCCGCAGTGCAGGAGGCCGCAAGTCTGCAGGCAAGTCTGCAGAGCTGCAGACGGTCCAGTCCTCCCCGCCACCTCATTTGGTTTGCAAAGCAGGACAGTGAGGCGGCCCCAGGGAATTGCTCCTGTGTCCTCTCTCCTGAGTGAGGTGCCTGTCACATTGTTACAGGAACCAGCTCACCTCCACTTATCTGGTGTCATTACTGACCTGCAGGTCAGAATCCCTGACTGGGCTCTCCCTGCCGGCCTGCTCCCTGGAAGCAGGCCTTGTGGCCGAAACCTCGAGTGGGAAAGTGTTTCACGTCAACGGAAGGGTCCAGCTGCTTTGAGTGGAGGTTCTTCTGGGCTGTGGTTTGACCGGGTTCTCTGTGCGGTCAGCCACTCTTTGTTAGCCCACAGAGTAGGCCTTGTCTCTGAAAGCAGATGCCTGAGAGCTCCTAGGGAGGGGTGAGCGTGAGGCCAGTGTCACGGCAGGGGAACGGCTTCGGGACGTATGTGCTGCGGGTCGTCAGCGTGTTGGCTTGAGCAGGAAAGTGGTATTTGCACTGAGAGCCCAGCCCTGGCAGGCCGGGGGAGGCGGCTTCTCTGCAGGAACAAAGAAAAATCATTTTCTTCCTTGACACGAGGCGGAGAGATTACACCGGGTGTGTTGAAGCTTTGCCAACACTTGACTGGTGGGGTCAAAGCTGACAGTGAGGCCCTGTGGGCGCGCAAGGTCGGGTGGGCAGGCTGCCGTCTGCTGGTCAGAGCAGCCAGTGAAGCCACGGAAATGGCCACAGAGGCCCCCGGGGAACAAGCGCTCCACACTTTTGTTTGTGGTCCCTGCTTCTGAGCATCCAGTTTTCTGCACAGGTGTTTTTTCTCCCCACTAGCCGTCTTCTGACTATCTGTCATATCTGCGATAAGCCTTGGCTTGTAAGGAAAAATACGAGCAGACTTTAAAATATTTCCCTTGTTGCTTACTTCCACCTAGAATAAACTTTGATTCAGGGGAAACGGAAGATGAGTTCCAGTTAATTCCACTCCTTGCTGGACTCTGGGCCACGTGGCTATGGGAACATGCCGTGTTTCTCAGTGGTATGGTTTTTACACCCAGAGCCAGGGGGTTGTTGGGTGAGCGACATGTTTGGGAGGAGAAGCCAGGCCGGTGTGTTTCGGGTAAAGAATAACCCCAGTTGGCCTGGCCCCCCCACAGTGTGCGAAGAGCGTGTCTGTCGACAGAGAAAGTGTCAGCACAGAATGGCAGTTCCTGGTATTTCTTGAAGATGTACTTTTGCTCGTGAAGCTTCAGCCCTGTCTCTAGTTGAGTGGTTAACCTTCGCTGTCGTGGGGAGGGGTGGAGAGGAGCAGGGCTGTTTCTCTGTCATGAAGGGGCGCCCCCGTGGACGAGCTGCAGGAGAGAACATGGTCTCGGGGCCACCTCTTGAGGACTGACTTCATCAGCACCAACAGCTGGTAGCTCCCGGGGCCCTTGGGCTGGCTCATCACATAGGAGGTTACTTGTTGTCCCTACACCTGCACACAGCAGGTCAGCAGCTGACTTCCTCCACCTGCCCCCACCTCCAGCAGAGAAGCCTCTTCCACGCAGAGCTCCCTCGGGGTCCCCTCTGCCCCCGAGGGCCACATTGTGTTGCTCCTGTGAGGGCCTGTCGTCATGACCGAGGTGCCGGGAGTGAGGACAGTGACCGTGGAGGGCAAAGCCTTAGGGTCCGTGTGACCATGTGACAATGTCGGGGCCTGCAGCCAGGCCCTGGCACAGAGGGCTTGGGGTCTCCCTGCCCTGCCTCCTTTCTGTGCTTCCTCCGGCTCCGTGTTGCTCTTTGGCCTTTGCCTCCTCCCACCAGCAGTAGTCCTGCAGAGGGGAGATGGATGACACACGGTACGAAAGGGGTGGAAACGTGCAAAGCAGGGAGTGGGTGAGTAAGGGAGAGCCTCGGGTGCCTCACCTCCTGCAGTCTGGAGGCAGGTGTGTGGCTGTTTGGAGAGTGGGCGGTGTGGGCGCCCTCACCGTGGTCAGCTGGGTCTGTGGCCCAGGGAATGGCCATCAGTCTTCCCACTTGCTGTACACTGGTGGGCAGAGCAGGGCTTTCTTGGGCCTTTCCCACCCTGCTGACTCGGACACTTCTGGTTTGTGCTTTGTAGACACGGTGATGCTGCGCTTCGGTTCTCCTCAAACCTGTCTTCACAGTGCCTCAAATCTCCGCAGGGGCTCGTCTTTCTCTGCCAGGCCCCTCAGTCTGGGAGGCCCAGGTCTGGTCCAGAGTCATGGCTGCACTGTTGCCAGGATCTCCTTGTGCGATCTCACTGGGTGTCCTAGGCTCAGCGACCACCTGTGTGTGAAGGATGCCCAAATCGGGGGCTGGGTCCCCAGGCTTCTGTCACAGCCGCCTGCCCAGTGAGCCGTCCCCAAGTGTAGCACCGACGTGACGTCCTAAAGGGACCTCCCATTCCACCCTCACCCATGAGTCCTTATGGTTCCAGACCACTGGCCTGGGGCCACCATATCCTCAGTGGCCTGGAAACCTGGGGGTTGTCCTTGACCCTGACCCTCCTGTTTTACTTCCTTTGCTATGTATCTGTGTCTTCCCTGCCTGAAAGACTCCATCTCTGGCGGGAACCCCCCCCACCCCCCCGTGACTTGGTGTTCCCAAACCCCGTGCCTCTCTCACTGCCCTCCCTGCACCTCTGTGCAGGCCATGCCAGAGGAGTGCAGCCCAGCCCTGCCCAGTGAAGGACTTGGACACAGAGGAATTCCACATGGAAAAGGTTGTCTCCCAGAACGTGTTGGTAGACAGATTCGGATTTGCTGACTATTCCTTCTTCTTTGATTTTGTCAGGTTACTCTGACGGCATCAGGTGGACCGACACCATCCCCCGCCCCCTCGCCGGGGCCCGAGCGTGGGGAGCATGGAGGAGAGCAAGGACGAGGCAGCAAACCGGGCGCATGCCCTCTTTGACCGCTTCGTGCAGGCCGCCACCTGCAAGGGGACCCTGAAGGCCTTCCAGGAGCTCTGTGAGCACCTGGAGGTGAAGCCCCAAGACTACCGCTCCTTCTACCACAGGCTCAAGTCCAAGCTCCACTACTGGAAAGCCAAAGCCCTGTGGGCGAAGCTGGACAAGCGGGGCAGCCACAAGGACTACAGGAAGGGGAGGGCCTGCAGCAACACCAAGGTGCGGTGGGGCTGGGGCCCCGGCCATCAGCCTGAGGGGGACGACCAGCAAGGGAGGGACCTGCAGAGTCTGTAGGGCGAGGATGGGCCGAGCTGAGCCAAGGTCTGGTACGGGAGGTCAGGCTTCTACCTGTGGGAAACATCCATGTCACTGTTCCGGGTGCTAGACTTTATTTGTGTTTCGTGTGTTTGCATATTGAACAGTCAGGGTTTTAACTGTTTAAGAACAATTTAAGTAGTGCAGCAGCTTGTTCATTTTGCTGAGCCTCTGCTTTGAATCTTGCACTCTCAGGGGGGTGCAGGTCAGTGAGCAAAGCAGCACAGCTAGGCCTTGCCAGCATCCTGCACAAGCACAGCCCCATGGCGCAAGTCACCGTCCTGTGCTCAGTAACCAGCAAGGGACACATAGTATCTCAGTAACCAGGGAAGGACACATGGTATCTCAGTAACCAGGAAAGGACACATAGTATCTCAGTAACCAGGGAAGGACACATGGTATCTCAGTAACCAGGGCGGGACACATAGCATCTGCCACCTGGGGCCTAAGGTCGCTTTTCATCCTTATCCCAAAGGTCTGTTTTCCTAATAAGCAGGGGCCTTGTGAACACAGTAATTTCTTTTTGTTTCTTCACAGTGTACAGAAGCAGTGTTCTCAAGAAGAAGGTGGGCCTAGGTGGGGTGGTGGTTTTGGGCACCTGAATGAGGTCCGGGAGCAGGTGAAGAAGGAAGAATAGTTTCCTGCTGCCCCTCCCTCCCAGGGGCTGGCAGGGAAAGAACGTGGCAAAGGACTTCACAACTGTGTCCTCAGCGCTCTTTCCCGAGTTCTGATTTCCCGAGATCTAATTTGCCTGCTGGGCTTTCATTTGGTCGTTGGTTAGATATTCGTCAGTACAATTCAGGAAGTTCAGAGGCATGACTTGTATGAGGGAGTTGTGGAGTTTTATTAAGGATAAAAGGAGTTCAAAGCCAAAAACATTGCAAGCCTTTTTTTTCCTTCCTCACATGCAGTGTGAACTAGTTAAGTATCCAGTCTCACCCTGAGTACTGCTCTAAATTTCATATTTTCAAGATTGTTTTCTTGGACTTTAGTCTAAAGGCAGGTTTTTAGGACTATTGTCAGCATGAAAAACTCAGGCCCCTGGCAGTTGCCTCCTGGGAATCCCTGGAGTAGAAAGCCATCCGGGACTCTGTGTGTGATGTTCAAACTCCCATCTCCTTGGACAGAAATCTGCCTCACTGAGAGACCTTCCCAACGGATGGGAGATGCAATGCAGTTTTCAAAGTGCCTGTTGAAATGACAACCCCCCCTAAACACGCGGCCAGTCCGCAGGGTGAACACAGGCTGGATTAGTGTCCAGCTCTGACAGCTGAGAGCCCTCCCTCCTCTCAGCACCCACCAGTGGCTGTTGCGGGGCCCCGAGGGTGCAGTGGGATGGGAGGTGGAGTGAAGAGCCCTGTGGGGGTGGGCTTTCGGGAGTGGTGGTCGTGAGGTCACGAGACTTGTTCTCAAGGGGTGCCACCTTGCCTGAAGCAGCCCTGTTTTTCAGTGTCTCATCATTGGAGCTGGTCCCTGCGGTCTCCGCACAGCCATCGACTTGTCCTTGCTGGGAGCAAAGGTGGTCGTGATTGAGAAGCGAGACGCCTTCTCCCGAAACAATGTCCTGCACCTCTGGCCCTTCACCATACATGATCTGCGAGGTTTGGGTGCCAAGAAGTTCTATGGCAAGTTCTGTGCTGGGTCCATCGACCACATCAGTAAGTGAAACTGGTCCTCCTGCAGGTCAGCCCTCCCACACCCCCCAGTGTGTTCTGCAGGAGACCCAGGCAGGCTCCCTGAGGAACACGTCTGCAGCTGCCTGGTTTGCTCTGTGTCCTCGGCATCTGCTGTGCAGAAGCACGTCTGCTGGGAGGCAGGACTAGGGCTCTGCAGTGGAAGGGCTGAGCTCTGGGGTCACTAAGGCAGGCCTCGGGCTCTCCTTCAGCATGCGCACTGGTGGGATGAACACTGGCGCGGCCCAGGCAGTAGGTGGCCAGTGTGGGCCTTCGCCACACTCGGCCGTTTCAGCCGGCCCTTTGAGTGTGGCGTGGAAGAGGCTGCGCTGGCGTGAGAACAGAGTGCTGTGGGCACTCCTGGGGAGGCCGCAGCCGCAGACACCTTGTTGGGTGTGTGGCCAGCTGATGAGTTGGCGGCGGGATTCCTCGATTCTCGTGGGGCCTGCAGCCCCAGGGCTCTCCCACTCTTGCCCCCTCGACGCTCGGCGTGGCCTGTCTTTCTGGGGTGCTTTGAAGTAAGTCCAGGCCAGTGCACACGTGGTTTTGTCTCTGTGACAGTGTGTGCAGGACGACCCCTCTGCCTTACGAGGTCCAGGTCTTGTGTGCTGACCGTCACCAGTGGTTCCAGGGAAGGCCTACAGGGGGCCTCCCTGAGCTCCTCCCGATGCGCCCCCAACCCTTCGCTGTGGGAAGGCCGTGCCGGTTCACCAGCCTGGCCACAGCGGCGTCTTCCCGGCGGAGGAAGCCCCCGGCCCTCTGCGGGGCTCTGACGCACAGAGCGTCTCAGACCCCAGTTGTCCGTGAATACAAAACGTGCGCCAGCGTGGGCTTGCGTGAGTCTACGTGTGGGACTCGGTGTTCGGTTGTGTGACCTGGGGAGACAACTGGAGGGTCCGGAGGAGGGTTTGCATGGACTCCTGGACAGCAGCTGCGGGCGAGCACCCGGGCCACCCCTCCAGCGGGTCTGCCGGCTGACGTGCGGCACGCTCAGCCACAGGGGTCCGGGTTTTGTCTGCCTCCGGGGCGGCTGTGTGTCTGGCACCTGGCAGGTCCTCACTGGATGTTAATAAATCTCATGGGATAACGAGCAAGGTTTTCATTCATTTTGAGCCTTAGTTTCTGCAACTGTAGACCAGTCGGTGGTCGGGGGAGACAGTGAGACAATTGGTCTTGCTCCGGCCCTTTCCCTTCGCACCTCGTACATCTGTGGAGACGGGAGGTGAGGAGACAAAAGTGGCACTGGAGGCCCAGGGAGTCGGGCTGCCCCTTCGGGCCAGGCCAGAAGGAGGGCGCACAGTGGGTGCATGACGTCTGCCGCCTCTGGTCACAACCCAGGGCTGCAGGTCCTGCCGAGTCACTGAAGCTCTGACTGATTCAGGGAAGGTGGAAAGGCGAGTCTCCTGTTAGCCACAGTCTCAAGTTAACTATCTCACCCGAGAGGTGAGAGCAGGCCTGTGTCTTTCCAGCATGTTTCTGTCCCTCAATAAAGAGCCTGTGTGACATGGCTGGGAACACGCTCCTGTCCCAGAACCTTGGAGAACCTGTATCAGCCCCATGTTGGCAGCAGGTGGGGCCTGAGCAGGGACACCAGTGGTCACCCCCCAACAGTGGCCCTGATAAGTGTTGTCCTTTGTCTCCCCAGGTATCCGCCAGCTGCAGCTCATCCTTCTGAAAGTCGCGTTGATCCTGGGCATTGAAATCCACGTCAATGTGGAGTTCCAAGGACTCGTGCAGCCTCCTGCGGACCAGGAAAACGAGCGTGAGTAGAGGCGGCGGAGCGGGGAGGGGAGGGGAGGCGAGACGAGGCCAGCACGGAGAACAAGAGCAACTTGCGAGCTGTCTTCAGAGCGGGCTGCAAGGGGCTCTCTGTCTGTGCAGCCCGTTTCCCCCGAGGGACTCCTGAGAGGCCGCGGAGATGGCCTTCGACGTGCAGGCACTGGTGCCCGTCCCAGAAAACTGAGGGGCGGGAACGCTCCCGCGAGGCTCCTGCCTCTGGACCACGTGTTTGCCGGGGGCTCTGCCTGCCGGGGTGTCTCGGTATGTCTCAGACGGGGGGACTGGTCTGGGCGCTGACCTGCACTCTGACTTCGGTCCACAGGGATAGGCTGGCGGGCCCTGGTGCACCCTAAAACCCACCCCGTGTCAGAGTACGAGTTTGAAGTGATCATCGGAGGGGACGGCCGCAGGAACACCTTGGAAGGTACTGGTCGGTGCTGCACAGCCTGGTGGGGAGCAGAGGGAGGGCGGCTTTCTCCGCAGCCTGGGCTGAGAGCTGTGTCACCAGCACCCACGCTGCTCAAGAGCCCGTGTAGGGACCACAGTGTCCTGCCGGGCAGCGTGGCAGGACGACCTCTCATCTTAGTAACAAGGTGGCTTCCCTTTTGTTTTTAAATGGCATTCCTGGTGTTGAGTAATATTCTGGTTGGTCAGATTTCAAATTTTTTGTTAGTGTGTGGGGGACTTTCTGCTCTTTTCCGGGCTGTTGCATTCTTTGGTGAGTAAACCGCTTATTTTCCGGTGGAGAGGAGCTGCCCTACAATGTTCCCATGGATTCCTCCCTGCTGTGGTCCCTGCTGCCATCAGCAGTGCCCCTCATGTCCCCACCTCACAAGCCAGCTGCAGCCCCCTCTAAAGGTATCTCTCCCTCCAGGGTTTCGTCGGAAAGAGTTCCGTGGCAAACTGGCCATCGCTATCACAGCCAACTTCATCAACCGAAACACAACAGCAGAAGCCAAAGTGGAAGAGATCAGTGGTGTGGCTTTTATATTCAACCAGAAGTTTTTCCAGGAGCTGCGGGAGGCCACAGGTGGGTGTGGGTGCCTCAGAGAGCTGGGGTTGTGGGAGTCGCCTGCGGCCCTGGCTCTCCTCGCTCCTGCGCTCTCCTGTTCTTCTCTGCGTCCCAGGGCCTGGGCCCTTCTGGACAGGGTTCGCATTCATGTCTTCGTTTTTGCGTGTTCATTCTGCCTCCCAGCTCTCCCCTCCCCACCCTCCCCGCCTCGGTCCTGCGGGTGGTGTGGGATGCAGGAGCCTGCGGTTGCCAGTCTTCTGGTTTATGGGGGCCTCGAATGTGTCCTCTTGCTCCTGACTCCCACCTTGGCCTTGAAGTAAACCAGCCACGTGCTAGATGGGAAAGAGATTATTTTGTGACTACTTTGGAATACATTAACATAGATGTTTTGGTGCAACACTAATGCACAGCAAATTCCAGTTCTTTGTTTTCTAGAATATCATCTTTCCATGACATCTGTTATTTTAGACTGATTGAAATTTTAAGTCAGTAGTTCATTCTGCTTCCAGGCATCCAGGTGTCTGCTCCATTCTGGGAAGTTCCCCAGTTGCCTTGACAACTGTAAAAGCAGCCTCACCTGGTCACTAACCAGACCCTTCTATTAGATGTGAACCTTCTTCCTTCCCTCACTGTTGACTGTTGTGTGGGGGGTATCTTGGGGTATCAGGGGACTCCAGAGCAGTGCAGGATAAACTGAGCCCACCCTCTTTCTGTGGCTGAACGGGCAGGAGGTGAGAGACTGTGCTCAGACGTCTCGGTCATTGTCCCCTCCCTGCCCGCCGGCCCTTCCCACCACACCTCTGCCTCCTGCTCACAGGCATTGATCTGGAGAACATCGTCTACTACAAGGACGACACGCACTATTTCGTTATGACAGCCAAGAAGCAGAGCTTGCTGGACAAAGGGGTGATACTGCACGTAAGTGGTGATTCTTCCAGAGAGAGAGATTACGAGTGTGAGTATTACTGTCTGGGAGTCCTCTTGTGAGGGGGTGACAGTGAGCCAGCCCCTAGCTTGTCATCTGGTAACGTGTGCTCTCGGTTTTCTTTTTTTTTTCTTTTCCTTTTTTTTTTAGTTAAACTTAAAAAATGACCTTGTACTAGGGAAATTTTCTTATATAAAGAAACGTGGAGAGGGCCATCTGATGACCCCCGTTACAGAGCTTTAACGATTATCAGCACACTGCCAGTATTGTGTCAGGAAAGCCCAGCCCACCCCCATTCCTGCAACTGGATTATTCCAAAGCACATCTCCAACATTTTAGGAATAAATATTCAGTTGACTTTGAGGTGATGTGATTTGAGTTTCTAGAGAATTGCAGATACGAGCGATTGTTGGTTGGTTCGTAGGTGTCTTTTGGAAGGGGTGCTGGAGGGCACGGAGTTCGAGCAAGAAGCAGAGGGTGGTATCCCCGGAGCCTCAACCTGGCCCTGGTTTTCCTGTGGATGCGGCCGTTGGGGCCCCGGAACACCAACTGGGTTAGGGGTGATTGGACCCCAGCAGTCAGGGGATGGTCTGCATGTGAAGTCGGAAACCCCCTGGGGGCTGGTTCCTTACGCATGCTTATGTCTCAGTGTGAGCGCTGCTGTCCCCGCACAGTGAGTTGGAGACGTGGGGCCCCAGGCTCAGGCTTGAGCAGCTCCACCCAAACTCGAGTCGCTCCCAGGGGTCCCCTGTCTGAGGGGCGGTCCCATGTCTGGTAAGGCAGACAGACCAAGCGGGTGTGAGCCCACAGCCCTGCCAAGGGCGTGGCCAGGTGGTTCGATGCTTCGCTTCTGAGGCATAGCAGTGAGCCCGTTGCTGCCAGCTGCCACTGTGGAGCGGCTCTCCGCAGTGCCTGGGCCTGACATCCTCCCCGTTTTTCCTTTGTGTATTTAGAGGGCGGAGGCCAACATGTGCGGCTAACCTTAGATCCACTCAGACTGCTCACTCATTGGGAGCACTCTGTTTTGAGGGCGTGTGCTTGGCTTTTAGCATCTCATGCTGGTAGCAGAAAGTGCTGTCAGAGCCCTTGGGAGCCAGAGACTGCGCCCCAGGAGCACAGACTGGGCTCGGTGCGTGGTCCTCTCGGCAGGAAAGCAGCTTCTTGGGCCTTTGTGTGGGACTCCCCTTTCACTTATCATTGTTCTTCTGTGTTGGCGGGTTTCTGGGGAGCCTGTCAGAATGGTCTTACTTTTTAAACTCCTGTTCCATCTTGAATGTCTCCCTCCCCAGTCCCCTGGGCGGCTGTCACTCCCACCTCTGGGCTTTTTGGCAGAAGCTTTGGGCTCTGCTCTGCCTGTGGGTCTGTTGAGTTGGGCTGAGCGTTGCACATGGTCCCCGTTGCCCAAAGCTGTTTGCTACCCAGAAGGTGGTGACCAGCGATAATGACAAACAGCTAACCAGGTGCCATCACGTGGACCACTCCGTTCTGTGCTCAGCACAACCCTGTGAGGTGGATGGGACAGGATCACAGAAGGAGCGACTTGCTCCAAGTAGATGGAAAAGCCAGGACTATGTTTTCAGCAGCAAGGCCTGTGTCCTTTCAGAAATGCCCGCCACTCTTCTTTGTATTTTGTGAGAAAAGACTTGTGGGAGTGCGCATTGCTGTGGGGGAAAGGCAGGGAGAAACTTGCTTGTCTGTGGTGTGTGCACTGTGGCTCAAGCCAGGCAGACCGCACCTGGCGTCTCCAGCGAGCCTCTTCCCTCTCGGAAGCTAGGACTACGCCGACACGGAGCTGCTGCTGTCCCGGGACAACGTGGACCAGGAGGCTCTGCTGAACTACGCCCGGGAGGCCGCTGACTTCTCCACCCAACAGCAGCTGCCGTCCCTGGACTTTGCCATCAACCACTACGGGCAGCCCGACGTGGCCATGTTCGACTTCACCTGCATGTATGCCTCTGAGAATGCCGCCCTGGTGCGGGAGCTGCACGGGCACCAGCTCCTTGTGGCCCTGGTTGGGGACAGCCTCCTTGAGGTGAGTGGGCGGGGGGCAGCCTGGGACCGTGGTGGACACCGTCCGGGGTCCCAGGAGGAGTGGGCGTCTGGGTCCCGGGGCAGGAACAGACACTGTCCAGGGCCCCGGGGGAGGAGTGAGCAGCAGCAGCACACGGTGACTCGCTGGGGGGGAGTGTCAGGCAGCCCTGCCAGACGGTCCCAGGGCTGAGGGTGATGGAGAGGCTGCAGCTCTCCTGCCGGGCCCTCCGCTGGGTTGTCAGAAGCTGCTTTCCACCGCAGACTCTGTCTTGGAGCCATTGTCCAGCTTCTGCCTTGGGAAGGGCTGCTTATCGTTGCTCTGTTTTCTCTCCTGTGATAGCCGTTTTGGCCAATGGGAACTGGCATCGCCCGGGGCTTTCTGGCTGCCATGGACTCTGCCTGGATGGTGCGAAGTTGGTCTCTGGGAGCCACTCCCCTGGAAGTGCTGGCCGAGAGGTAAGGGGAATAGCAGGGCCGCTGTGCAGAGGGACGTGGTCAGGCGGAGCCCAGGGTCTCCCCTCCTCTGCTTTCCCTTTCTTAATGAAAGATATTTTCACATGTAAGAGAGGAAGTTACAAGAACTTAAAGGTTATCTACTGCAAATGCTCATCTCTTACCCTTTCTAAACGGAATTCATTGCTCCTGATGATATCTGAATCTTCGTGCACCATCAGGGCTGTCCCTGCATCCTTTGTGACAGTCACGTGAACACATGCATAAAAATAACATGCAAGCCCTTGCATCCCTAAACTGGAGGGACTTAAAGTAATGAAGTCAGTGGGGTAATACAGGAGATACTAAAATAAGAGAAGAAATTCAAAGTGACTTTGAAGTCAAAGGAAAATACCAAACTGCTTGTCAGCATTTCTCAAATTTTTGCAAGTCAGATGTCTTGAAGCAGATTATGGCAGGTGAGGTGAGAGTCGCAGGTTGGGTGGCAAGGAGCAAAGCCCTAGCCCGAGAAACGAGAGAGATGGGATTCGCTGCGCGGAGTGGTCGGCGGGCAGTGTTCGCAGTCAGTCACTCAGGCGCTATAGGTGGCGCGGTGGCGTGTTCTTTTGTCTTGCGCTTCTCTGAAACGTTAAATGCTGACAGACTCGAAGCAACAAGACAGTGAGTGGACCTGCCTTTTCTGCCAGAGTCAGGCAGTGTCTCTGCCCACAGCAGGGCACCCTCGGTTCTCGTTGGCCTGCCAGGCCCCTGGGGTCACTGATCTGGTGGGACTGGGAAGCAAGAGTCAAGGTTGGGTTGGAGGAAACTGGTCAAGGAGGCGCATTTGTCTCATCCTCCCAATCACGTGACTATCGACACGCTGAAATGGCCTCCCAGGCGAGGGCGACATCACAGCTCGGGGCTGGACCTGAGCGGGGTGCTGTGTTGTTGCAGGGAGAGCATCTACCGGCTGCTGCCTCAGACCACCCCTGAGAACGTGAGCAAGAACTTCAGCCAGTACAGCATCGACCCCGTCACTAGGTACCCCAATATCAACATCAACTTCCTGCAGCCGAGCCAGGTGAGCACCTGGCTGCCTGGGTCCCTCTGCAGGTCTGGTGACAATGCGTCTCTTGGGTGGACGCGGGCAGCCTCGAGTCGGAGTTGGTGGGAGGGGAGGGCCGGCCCCATCGGCAGACGGAGCGCCTCAGGCCCAGGGTGGGTGGATGGCCTGCCGGGGGGCCACACGTGACAGAAGCGGTGCCCCAGGACCCGGGCCCGTGCCTCTGGACTCCGACTGGCCGCGCGTTCAGGAGGGCGCCAGTCACTCACCGGTCCATGCACACGACTTCCGCTGGCACAGTTACCGCCGGGCCCTGTCACTCGGGCAGGTCATTTCTCATTCTCTGACCCTTGGTGTCTTCCTCTGTAAAACAAGGGGACGGTCCCTGCCACTCACAGACGGGGTCACTGGGGGACAACAGAGACCGTCCACGGGGAAGAACGTGGAGATCAGCCACTCCCTGTCAGTAGAAGATTGCCGGCCACTTCTCTGTACCGAGTTCCTTCTCAGAACGCCAAAGCCTTGCAGCTCCGTTAAAGGTGACATTTTATAGAGTTTAGCTGTCCCAAAAAGCCCACCAGGTTTTGGGAAGTAGCCATTCAACATATCTGCCTGTGTTCTCGTGGAATTTTTTATTCACTTTCTACCTGAAGTCGTCACCGTCAGCCCTGTGTCCATGGGTGGCGAGTCACAAGGGTCCACGGAACCTGCTGTGGAAGGTGCACGGAGTCCAGCCACCAACCAGATGACCACACATGGGCACCAAAGACACACCATTCAGGAAGCTTCATTTGTAACACGCGTCCCCCCGCAGGACTGTGAACAAGTTCCCGCAGCGTGCCCCGTGGCCGCGTGCGTGCAGCCGTGAAAAGACTGAACCGCCACCACATTCAAAGTGAATGCGCCTCGGAGACACTAGCAGTGCACAAAAGAACCCCACACCCAAGTGGGTGCTGTGTGACTGACTTCATTTCTACAGAGTTCAAAAGCAGGAAGACTGGTCCTTGGGACAGAAGTCTCCGTCGTGGGCACCGTGGGGGAAGGGTGCCGACACGAGGCTGGGCTTGTCGGGTCGGGTCCAGTGATACCTGGGAATATTTACCTGCAAAAACGTGCCAATCTCGACTGTATCTACTGTGAGCGAAAAGAGGGAGCCAAACAACAGCAGCAACAGCAGAGGCCCGGCAGAGACGGGCTGCCGGAGGGACCGTGGTGGCCGGGCAGTGAATCTGCAGTACAGCCTCCTAGCGAGTGCGTGTTTGTCTGTGACCCAGCACGTTCCGGAGAGGGCTCAGAGGTCCTCCCGACTTGTCTGCTCTTTGCCCCGCCTGCTCTCCCAGCCTTCCAACTGTCATTCTCTGCGCTGGGGGGACTTTGTTACTGGGACCTGACTTCCTTCCTCACAGCACTTTACCTTTCTGCCAGGTGCGCCATTTGTATGACTCTGGGGAAGCAAGAGACATCCACCTGGAGCTGGAGGGCCTGGCACACCCCAGGGCCACCCCTAAGCTGGCTCGCCATGGTGAGTCCCAGTCCTGGCCTCTGGGCCGGGGACTGTCCTGAGCAGTCTGACCGCCTGGTCAGCTCCCATGCACGGCGGTGTGTCAGGGCACATCTGAAAGTTTCTGGAGGCCTTTTCATTGTCTTGACCGGGGAGGGATGGTGCAGCTGGCTTTCAGGGATGCGGCTCGTGGTGCTGCGGTGCACACGCCTGCTCCCAGCCGGGGCGTCAGCCGAATCGAGATGGGGAGACCTTGGTCGAAGAAGGTATTGGGAGGATCCAAACAGAGACCAGACGGGCACTACTGAGGAGGAGGAGGAGGGTGTATGGGCGCACATGCCCGCTGAGAGGACCAGGGGAGCATGTTTGCTGCGTGCGGCAACTCTGCCAGCACACGGGGATGGAGAGAGGGCCGCTGCGTGCTTTGTGTGTAGGCAAGGGCCCCTGGAGCTGTAAAGGAGAGGGGGGTGCAGACACTGTACGTGCAGGACGGGCCAGCCAGAGGAGGTGAGCACCCCTCCAGGAGCCACGCTGATGGCCGCAAGGCCTCCCCCAGCACTGACACGGAGGGGGAACGAGGCGTGACCGTGGAGCGTGATGAGCAGGGTGGGCCACGGGGGGCACTGCTGGGTCCCAGCCCAGGCCTTGCCGTGTGTGGGGGGGTGGTCTCGAGCAGGTGACTGGTGTCTCTGAGCCCTGGTGCCAAATAGGGAAGTAGGGTGACAGACACCTGCCTCGAGTGCTGGTCCCCAGGCTCGTAGCTCTGGGTGCCTGACAGGGCGCTGTTCCTGCCGTCGGTGACTTTCCAGACCGGTCGTGCGTGCTGCAGCACGGGCCCACACTGGTGCTGCTAGGTGACCATGCTCCTATCGGTGTTTTTTTTGTTCTTTTAGAGTCTGTACCTCGTTCAAACAAGCTGCTGAGCTGGTGCCAAAGGCAGACGGAGGGCTACGCAGGGGTCAGTGTGACGGATCTCACCGTGTCTTGGAAGAGCGGCCTGGCCCTGTGCGCCCTTATCCATCGGTATCGCCCCGACCTCATGTGAGTTGTGGCCAGACTTCCTGTTTCATTTTCTGTCCCCAAGGTCTTGGAGCACCCTGCTATCAAGTTGCCAAATTCGTACGTTTTTCCTAGCGTGGAATCCATAGTAAGACACTTCCTCTAGAAAGCAGTGATTAATTTTTATCTGATTCTATTTAAAACTCTGAATGTCAAGCATTATGTAGTTCAGCATGGAAATGATTCCCTGAGTTTTTAAAATCGCAGCACTCAGATGGTCAAAAACTGATTTTAATGCCCACCTGGGAGTATTACCTTCACACAGAGGGGACCTCTGTGTAGTGGCCGCAGGTTGCGCTCTGCTGCTGCCACCTGTCTCTCCACTGTCACTGGCCATAAGCAGAGCTGGCTGGGACGTGGGGCTGGCTCATGGCGAGGGTGTTCCCTGCGCCTGGTGGTGGTCTCTCCCGTCATGGCCCACATACTTGCAGATGCTCAATCAGCCCTGCGACCCTTGGGTCGCCGTGGTCACCACCAGTGTCCACTCCCTTGGGGGCCTCCATGCGGAATTGGTGCCGTAGGATGACCCAGGTCAGGCGATGACTTGCACACGGCAGGCTCCCCGAGGGCATTCGCCCTGGGCGCCAGACGGGCATGTTTGGAGCAAAAGCAGAGCAGGCAGAGTTATTTTGGCTGCCTGTTCTTTTATCATTAGGTCCACTTAAGGGCCCAGTTTTTTGTGTTTGTTTTGCTTTAATGTTTGCTTAAGAAACCCAAAAGGCCACAGTTCCTGTTTGTGTTAGGCTGTAAGTGCACAAGGCAGGAGCTACAACGGCAGCCTTGCCGGGGTGGGCAGCGTGGGAGCTGGGTTTCTGGCTGGTGCAGAAAAAGGTGAGCGGCCCTTTGCTCCTGCACCATAGCCTGCACAGGGGTAACGCAGGGCTTGCCCCTCTGAGAGGGGGTGGGGGTCGTGGAAAAGACTGACTCGGTCAGTGTAGTACAGGAGTGCAGAAGGAGGAGCCGGGCGAATGAATCAAAGCCCTTCCGAGGGGACAGCAGGAAAGAGGGGTGAGGCGGCAGTGACTGGAGGGAGCCCAGCGTGAGGGGCGGGAGCTGTGAGTGAGGGACCCGCTCCTGTCGAGATGACTGGCGGCCGGCCGTCTGCTGGAGGCCTGGGCTGTGTGCTTGTCACAGAGGGCAGCGCCGTGAGGAGGGAACTGGCCCGGTTCAGACCACAGGGACCCCACTCAGAGTGAGCGTGTCGGTCAGCAGCCGTAACCTACAGGGAAGAGGAGTGCTTGAAAGTGAAAACCTGCTGTGGGTCAGTGGGTGGGCACAGTGTGAGGCCCGCCCACTTCTCCCAGCCACTAAAGGAGACTCAGTCTTCCTTGACTGAAGAGCAGTGGGCTCAAAACCCAGTGGGAAACACTTGTTATTCTAAGTACTTGGGAAAATTCAAGAAATTTAGCAATGGAAAAATCTTTTGAGGAAAGTTTTGGAATTCCCCTTCCAGGAGGAGGCTGAGTGGGGTTTATCTGAGTGGGTCTGGGGCCCCAGGGGCTGGTCAGGGGCCCCAGGGAGGTGCCGCCAGGCCTTCAGGAGCAGTCGGGTCCACATGGGGTTTTTACCTTCGTGGAGCTTTGGGTTAATCAGCATAGAGCACACACGAGATTCGAGAGAACACATACTGGAGGGCCCCTGCTCTTGAGCCTGTGTTTTAGTAAGAAGTTTATGTGATTGGGAAAATGAGGAGAAATAACAATCTAAACTTCTAAAAATAATAAAATGCTCTGACCTAAAAAATAAACACCCCCCCCAAAAAAAAAAAAGAAAGAAAATGGTAGTTTTTCAGCTTCCTCCTCCTCTTTTTTCCTTCATGGATAGATTCAATCATTTTTCTTCTCAAGGGTGATTTGCCCTCAGATTTCAGGGAATCCCTGCCCACAGGAATTTAGCTGAGCCACCGAAAAATGGTGGTGACTTCCTGACACCGTGTTCTTGGTGAGGGGACAAGCTCCCCATCTTGACGTGTTTTCCCTACCCCGTTGCTCAGAGACTTTGATTCTCTGGAAGAGCAAAACGTGGAGAAGAACAACCAGCTGGCCTTCGACACCGCGGAGAAGGAGCTGGGCATCTGCCCCATCATGACGGGCAAGGAGATGGCCTCAGTGGGCGAGCCCGACCAGCTGTCCATGGTCATGTACCTGACCCAGTTCTACGAGATGTTCCGGGACTCGCTGTCCTCCCGTGGTGAGGACCTGGGGCTTGGGTGGGGGTGGGGGCCCTCACGTCCTCGTCAGTGCTCACAAAAGCAGGCCGGCACTGACTCCCGGGCCTGCCTGCCATCCTCACCCTGGCCCCTGGTGCCAAGGCTGTGAGTACGTAGCAGCCCTCCTGTCCAAAGGGTTCCCGGACTGCACCCCCTTCTCCTCCCTTTCCTCTCAGACCCAGCCTTTCTGAAACAAGCGGTTCACGCTTGTGGGCTGTTCCTCTCCTGCCCAGCCTTTGCCACCCCTGGCGGCCCTCACTGCTCTGCCAGACAGATGTCTGTCGTCACGAGGCCCCACACGTCCACGTGCACCTCCCCTTCTGTGGCTCGCCGCGCCGGTCCGCACGGTGGGGCGACCTCCCTTCCCGGACTCTCCCCCATCCTTGGCGTCTGGAGCCCTGCCCCAGACGGGCTCCCGCTCTTCTCTCTGTCACCGGTCCTCCCCTGGCTCCTCTGGCTTCCCCTCTGTTTTCCCACTTTCCAGCGTCTCTCCAGCATGAGGCCCCAGTCTGTCTGCCTGCTGCCCCGAGAGTTTCTGTCGCCATCTGTTGTCTCTGGAATGAGCAGAGCCTGGTGTTCAAGAGTGTCACCCATGGGCCTCAGGCTGGGCTTACACCCCAGTCCTAACACCTGTCCAACTTTGGGCCAGTTACTCCATTTTCTTGTGCCTCAGTTTCCCCATCTGTAAAAGGGGGTTTTTCTATAATGATATGCTAAGAAGAATGCATCTCAAATGGAAGCACTTAATAAATGCTAGCTGTACTATTAGTTTCAACTATTTTTAAAAATTACTGTTGTTACTAAGAAGACACTGGAATCTGTAGTTGGTGATGCTCCAGGGTCTTCCGGCCCATGTGGCCTCACAGATGTCTGTGGCTTTTTCTGACAAGATGCACAGTGTTTACAGCGAAACCCCAGGCTCGGACACCAGTCCACACGGTCAGGGAGCCCCTCGGTGTGCAGTGGGTATCTGGGCTTGGAGCCCTAGACCCCGCCGTGGCCCAGCATCCCCCTCTGCCTTGAGGCTTTTATCAGAGGTGAGGCTCCAGTGCTCCGCTCAGACGACCAGTCACAGCCAACTTGTGACTCCTGTGGAAGTTCCTGTGATGCAGGCGGAGGGGAAGGAGTGGGCGTTGTTTGTGTTGATGGAGAAAGAGACTCGGTGTCTAGACCTGAGTGCGTGCTCTCTGTGCGATTTCCTGCTGACCCTTCAGAGCCTCCAGGGGTCCTGAGAGGCCCCTGCAGCTGGGGCAGCCTGGTCGGTCCTTTGGGGCCTCTGCAGTACTGTCCTTGACCGCTGCCTCTGTCCACAGATGCCGCGGCCCTGAACGCTGAGGAGAAGGCAGTGCTGGTAGCCAGCACCAAGTCCCCCATCTCCTTCCTGAGCAAGCTCGGCCAGACCATCTCCCGGAAGCGGTCCCCCAAGGTGAGTGGAAGCAGCTGTGATCAGCGGCGAGCCCAGCGGTGAGGTGTGGCGTGGAGAACAACGCAGTCTGGTCCCTTCTCGCTGCAGGACAAGAAGGAGAAGGACTCGGACGGGGCTGGGAAGAGGAGGAAGACCAGTCAGTCCGAAGAGGTGCGAGTCGTCTGGCATTTGTTGGAATGATTATGTCAAATCGCCCTTTTTGTCTTAAATCTTAGTTTTCAAACTGGTGTTGCTAGACCTTTCCATGTCCCCCTTTATCAGGCTGCTTGTGGGCAAGGTGCTTTTCTGTGGGCTTTGCCTCTGTCTGATGATTTGGTGACACACACAAGCCCGCTGTCCTGGGCGGTGGTGACCCCAGCAGGAGTCGGGGACCCTCCCCCACTCCGTCTGAGACTAGAGCTCGGAAACATACTGGCCCTGTGCTCCTTCCTGGGAGGGGCACGTGGGACTCCTCTCACGAAGGCCCTTGGGTGTCCCTGTTGACCAGGAGGAAGTGCCCCGGGGCTGCAGAGGAGGGCGTCCGGCTCTGGGGAGCGCTCTGACCGACCGGAGGACCGATGTTGCCCTCGGCAACCAGAACAAAGTCAAGTACATGGCGACCCAGCTGCTGGCCAAGTTTGAAGAGAACGCGCCCGCCCAGTCCAGTGGCTTGAGGAGACAGGTGAGCCCTTCTCGCACCTGCCATCCCCACCAGAAGGGGGGCTCTTCTCAGTCGAAGGAGATGGTGGCGCGTGGCTGAGCCCGGTCTCTGCTCGTCCCTGTCCAGGCATGGCCGATGAGCTCTGGAGTTCCTGGGGCCCCGTGCTCCCCCTCCTCTGAGGCATCGGGTGGCAGTCAGCAGGGGGACTTTAAACACAGGCCTCCGAGTTCACGTTCTTGAAAGCCATGAGAGCAGTCTGTGCCGAGTCCCATCCCTGCTCACTCGCCTTCCCTTCCCGCCGGCCGGCCCTCAGTGCACGCCGTTTCCCACAGCCAGTCCGTCCTCCCCATGCACAGTCCGGGCTGCCCCTCTCGGGACTCGGGCCGCAGCCCCACCATCCGCTCCCAGCGGTGCCTGTGCCGTGTGCCAAGCCCGCCGACTGCTCCCCTGGGGCCCGCACACTGGTTCCTCATCCTCTGAACACGGCACAGAGGTGACAGATGTCCTGGTTGAGAAGCAGCTCTGCGTGCCTCAGGCGACTCTCCTGGGCACTCCTGAACCAGGCTGAGACAAGGAACCTCGTGCAGTTCCCACCTGTGCGAGCTGGCGGAGCCTTGAAGGGCGTCCGTGCAGGGCCTTGTCTCTGCTCTCCCTGGTCTGAAAGCCACTGAGACGTCCGCAGGGGCGGGGCTGGGACCCGAGGTTCACCCCCGGGGACCTGCCCGCTATTGCTCTTTCCTCGTCCTCAGCCCTCAGCTCTGCAGCAGCGATGGCCCTGTGGGCGGAGGGGACTGGGCTCCAGGGGTCGCTCACCTGTAGGCTTTCTTCATTTTCAGTGAAAGATGAGTGTCTAAACCAGAGTGAATGGTTGAGGCTCAGAACACTGAGCTCCGGGGGGCGGGGAGGACCGCAGCCTCTGTCCTTCTGGGGCTGAGGTTTTGTTTTCTTTATTACGTGAACCTCCCTAAGAATCGATTCCATGCCCCCCCACCCCCAGTACATAGATATGTGTCTGTCCTCCACAAGTCTTTCCTGTGTCTCCTGCCATAATGCCCTTTATTTTGCTTTGTCTGCATGTCCTGTCCCCCTCACCTGGCCTGTGTGTCACAGCCGACACAAGAGCGTGGGGCCGGCCAGCCGTCCTGCGGCCGACCTGAGCAGGGCCGCCCTGCTCCCACCCCACAGTGGAAACAGGTAAAGGACCTGTCTGGATCCAGAGTGGGCGCCACCTGAGGGCTGCCCACCCTGCTCCTCCTGAGCCGGCCCATGCGGGGCTGCCCTTGAACCCAGCCAAGCCAGCCCAGGACTCATCCACGCTCGTCTCAGTGACAACTCTGGGCGGGGTGACAGTGGCACAGACCTCATTGCACGGCTCCTTCCACTCCTTGGGGTTGAGAAACCTGTTGGCAGGGGGCTGTGACTGGGATGTTGGGACCAGCTGAAGCCATGTGGTCAGCTGTTTGGGTGCCCTGGCCATCGGGGTGGTGCCATTCTAACTCTGTCCCAAGCTGACTGGGGGCTGACGTGTCCCTGTGATCACGGGAGGGAGGAGCTGGAGGGCCGGGGCGGGGGGGGGCTGCGCCTTTCATGGCAGACAGGAAAACGTCTGAGAAATCGTCTTGAACTATGACTTTGATTTGCTTCAGACCCTGGACAAAGAGGGTTAAGGGCCTCTTCTTGCGTTTTGTCTACATTTTAAGTGCCCTTTGTAGAAATTCTCTGTAGCAGGGTTGTGGTAACGCATGGCAGCTGCCTCCCGTGAGCAGCAGGACAGAGGGAGGAGGGGCGGAGCCCCACCGTGCCCCCTCTGCATCAGCCTGGACGCGTTTTCTCAGACCTGGTTTCATTTAGGGCTGAGGCTCCGAGACGCTGGGGGGTGGGCCCCCCGTCCCGAGGTGTCTCCGTGCCTGCTGCTGCTAGGCAGCACTGAGCAGGGGCCGGCAGGGTTTACAAGGAATACGTTCAAGGCAACGTGAATATAACTTGTGTTTCTCACCTGTATTTTCACGTGCGGCCACATCAGAGGCTGAAGTGGAAGTTTGGGAAAAATGTCCAGATTCAGGGAGCCAAGCGGCCCCATCCCTCTGCCGGGGGCCTTCTGGGATGGGGACTGCACTGGAGACTCCCGTCCCTTCCCCCGACGTCTCGGTGGGAGGCAGGATGGGGAGGTGGACTCTGGTGGAGGGACTGCTGCAGGGCAGCGTGGCCTCTCGCTGGGCCTGAGCTCCAGGCCCTTATGGGACCAGGGGCAGTGAGCAAGGGGGGCAGCTGTCACCCACGTGGACAAGTGAGCAGGTGGCCCCGAGGCACGTGCCTGGGCCCCCGTGGGTGAGCACGTGGGGGCATCCTGGGCAGGAAGTGCATCCCGAGGGGCTGCCTGGGGCCTGGGGCAGCTGCCCGCAAGGGCATCAGGGGCATGTGTTTGGGGGCCCGTGTGTCTCCTGTTGACGCACCTGGCGACTTGGGCCTTGTGCCTGTGCTGCGTGCAGATGCACAGAGGGTCCCAGTCCGTGACGGAGCACCGCTGAGCTGGGCAGGCAGCAGGGCCGAGCCACGGCCTCTCCTGTGGACTCTGGGGGTTGGGCCCCAGCCCCTGGGGGTGGGTGAGAGACCAGGTGCCGGAACGTCCCGCCAGGTCCCTGACCTCTGGAAGGGGAGCTGTGCCTTTGCTTGGCTGGGGGGGAATGTGTAGGATGTTCCCCTGGTAGTGTTTTCCCAACACCAAGCAGGGAGGGTTCGGGCCTTGCAAGTTGCTGGTAGATTTCCCTCCTAAAAGATAGGCCTCTGGGGGGCAATGCGAAGGTGCAGATACCTGGGGACGGAGGGTGGGGGCAGCACTGGGCCCTCGGCACTGACCCACCAGGCTGCCACCCCGTCGGGAATGGGGCTGCCTGGCAGCACGTGGTCCCGACTCACTTGGGCACAGAACGAGGCAGGAGGGTGTGGCAGTGCCAGCCCAGGGGCCCAGGACCGGTTTTAACTCGGAGGGTTCCCGAGGGTGCTGCTTGCCGGGGACTTTACTGCTCAGCCCTCCTGGATCCCAGCAGCACGTCCTGGAGGCACACGGCGCCTTGTCCAGCCTCGGTGGGGAAAGAGGTCATCTTGGGAGGTGGGAGCAGGTTAGGGGGGCTGCTGCCCAGCCCCACACACACACAGTCCTCCTCCTCTCAGGCCCCACTGGTGCAGCTCCACTCGGTCATGGTTTCGAGTCCCATGGGGCTCTTGTCCTGGACGAACTCACCAGGAAGGGCCCCTGGTGTTTAGAAGGGGCTGCACCTAGAGGTGGACCTGGACACCCACCATGGGCTGCACCACACGGCTATTCTGGCCACACGGTGCTGGGTGGGGGGGATGGGGGCACAGGGCTGGGCCCCTTGGTCCTTCTGGACCCATCCGGAATGTGGCCACAGTTTCACCAGTCTTTTCTCTGTTTGTGTCTGTTGTGCAAAAGCGGCAGGGAAAGGAACGTTCTCGGACCTGTCCCAAAAAAGTGATCACACTCTCTCCACCCCCCACTCCACCTCCCTGTCGGGCATGTGGCGGCCAGCAGGTGACCTTGTGTGCATGCCCCGTTGTCTGTCTGTGCTGTCCTGCCTGTCTGTGGGTGGCGGGGGCAGAGCCCACGCCCGGGTCTCTCTCTTCAGGGATAACCATCACAGAGCAGAAAGACCGGTGGCAACCGGAGCAGCCTTTATGGCTACACACAGTCAGGCTCCTGCCGGCCCTCGGGAGAGAGCAGCTCGCATTCACAGCCACGCGGCACACACAGGCTGAGGTTCAGACAGCGTCTGTCAAGAGATGAGGCCCCAAGCCCTGGGGAGAGACATGTGCTCACATAACCCCATCTCAAGCTGCCATTTTTGCCTCGCTGCCCACGGGACGGAGCTGAGATGAGCTTTGGGGAGCTCTCAGTGGGGCTGCACGGCAGACCTGCTTCCTTCTGACTCGGACGGCCCGGCCCCTGCTTAGCCCTGTTCTGCCCAGACGCCAGCCCTCCCCCCAGCCCAGGCAGACCCTGGGAAACTGCGCTGTGGTGGGGAGCAGTGGGGCATAGTAGGCGTGCACAGTGGGGAGCACTCTTCTACGAAGCTGACCCTTGTTGCACTCTTCTCCATAAAGTAAAATGCCAGCTGCAGAGGCAGAACCTGGGGCAGGCAACTCCTCCGTCGAGGGCCTGGGCTGTAAAGGCCCGGCCAGTGCCCGACCACTGTGGCCCCACGCCTGTCTCCGCATAAGAGCCAGGCACAGGAGCAAAGCCTGGGGGCAGCCCAGGAGCTCTCCCTGTGTGGTCTCGGCTGTTCTTCCGGGAGCCCAGTGAGGCCCTAGCTGCTGTTCCCCCTTTGCAGAGGAGGAGCCTGAATGGGGCAGGGGTCACCTGGGGAGACCCAGGGGCCCAGCTCTGGCCTTGTCCTGCCTGGACCAGAGCAGCTGCAGCGGAAGCTTCGGGTCAGTGTCCCCAGTACGAGGCTCTAAGGAGGCCCCGGGCACCCCATCCCCGCGGCTCTCACCTGTGTGTCTCCTCGGGGCAGCACAGGCAGCCGACCCCATCAGCCAGGTTCCTACCCATCCACAGGTGTCCCGTCCACTGGCACCACTTCCAGGCTTTGCCCCCCTTGCCTCTCTTTGTCCCCCTTCACAAATGCCGCTTTTCCCCAGCTCCTATGCAGGGACCACTGCACCCCCTGTCCCCTTGGGGCAGTGTGTGTCACCCACTTTTCAGCTCTCTGGAGAGCCCCCCTCCTAACCCACCTCTCTCCTCTGACCTTGCGCCTGACGCCGCTGGCCTTGTGCCACCTCTGCACCAATAAGTCCCTGCTCATCGTGCTGCTGACCTCACTGGGGGCTGGGTGAGCAGCACGGCTGTGCACAGCGTGGTCCTTGGGTCACCTGCTCTGGCATCAGTGGGATTGGGGTTCCTTGGGTTGGGGCTTGGCTGGAGGCAGGGATCTGTGTTGACATAACTCTGACTCTACAGCTTTGTCACTTAGGTCCAAATAGAGCTTTTAGATGGAGCTTAAACATCTTTGTTGCCAACAGACGCGCAGGGACCGTGATGCCGACCACCGTGGCAAGCAGCGTCCCCACCGTGAGCGGGTAAACGCACGGACAGCCTGTGGCCCAGGCTGCTGAGGCCACACAGACGGGCACATGGGGGGAGGGGGATGGCCCCCCTCCCCTTGCTTTTTGCACGCTCTTGTCACCCAGCCGAGAGCCAGTGCCCTTTTGCTGACAGTGGTGACCGATGCCAGCAGCATGCACAGCCGAGTGCCCATCGTGGCACTCTGATCAGGCGGGTCCTGTGGTTGGGGGCCCATGGCACCCCATTGCTGCCCCCCCCCCCGCCTGGTTCCCACCTGAGCACGCGTGTGTGGCTTCTCAGGGCACAGGGTGGGAGCAGCCAGCAGGTGGCCTTTGCTCAGCTCCTAGGACAGAGGTGGGGCTTGCGATGGAAGCACTCGGTGACAGGATTTCCTGAATGTGAGGAAGACAGAGGGAAGGAAGGCGTTGACAAGGGGGGTCGCAGAGGAAGGCTTCCACCACCCACAGGGAGAATGGCGATGACATCGGGCCGTTGGGTGACTTGATGGGAAGCAGAGGTGCCCGTTTTAAAAAGCCTGCTTATGTCCTGCCGTCCCCCCACCCCCCTGGGTTGCTGTCACCTGTAAAGGTGGCCTGGCAGGTGGGGCAGGGGGCTGTGCCAGTGCTAGCCTCACATGGGTCTGCAGCTGCCTTCCCTGCCCCTCCCGCCTCGGCTGTCCAAGAAGCCCGGCCCCGGCTCCACGGTCCCTCAGCGGCCTCTCGGGTACGTTGGGAAGCTGGTCACAGGCCCGGTCCCTGTGCCTGCGATGAGCCAGGCCCGCGGTCGGGACAGCTTCCACACACAGCTCTGGGAGCTCGGCCTCTGTGTTTTCACAGAGTGGGGCCCTGCCCTGTGTGCTTCGGAATACGTACTTAACGAGGACTAGTGGTCTTTACCGCGACGAAGAGTGAGGGAAGCGTGTGGAATCCAAGGAGACATGCTGGTGGGGAGGGATGTTGGGGTCCAGGGCCACCATGTGCAAGAGGGAGGGTGGCGGCAGGAGCCTCCTTCCGTTTTCTCACAGGGCTGGTTTCCAGGCGCTGCACTGCAGGGGCTTCTCGGGGCCACTGCGCAGCGTCCTCGCAGGACTTCCCGTGACAGTGCTGCACACACGCTGCTGTCCTCTGCCCCACTGCCCCCCACACCCCACACCCCACCGGCACCCACTGTCCAGCCCCCGGAAGCTTCATCTGCTCTCCCTCCTGCTGGGTCGCACTGCTTTGCAGCGATGCACCCCAGTGCCCCGTCAGCTGATCGTGGGGAGCATGGGCTGGTGACACTCACACTGTTGTCCCTCCGCGCTGTGACATCAGTTCAGGCTGCTGGGAAACTGAGTGTTTCTCGTTTGCCAAAACTCCACCACCTTCCCTGTGTCCGGGGACTGCATGGGTCTGTCCCTGCAGAGACCCCGCCCATGCTGTCCATGAGCTGCCCGTAATCTGCAGGGGCCTGGGAGCCTCACGTCCCTTCTCGTGGTGACCACTGAGGTTGGGCGGGCTCCTGGTGGGCAGAGCACTGGTGGTAGGAAGAGGAAGAGCCACACTACTGGCCTTCATGTGGGGGGAGCAAGCGCTCCCCTAGACTTGCACCTCCTGCCCAAGAGAACCCAGCTCAGGGGGCGAGAGGCTCTGCAGAGCCCAAGTCCGGGGGGTGGGGGCAGGCCGCGCATGCTGCTGCTGCTGCTGCTGAGAACGTTCCTTTACCACGTGGCTTCTCGGGTCACGGTCTGGAGTGGGAAAAGGCCCTGGAAGTGGCGGGCTGTGCAGGTCCAGGTCCGTCTGTGACTTCACATTTCCTCTGATTCTTCTCTCCGTCTTGTGTTTTATAGCCAGAGTCTGAACCTTCTCGTCGATTTTTTGTCGACCAGTGGGAGCTTTCTCTTAGTCTCCGTTCCTCCAGCCGCCCCGCCTCTCCCTCCTCTGACTCCCTGCGACAGGTAGCAGGCCTGGGGCCGGGCGGAGCTCTGTGTGCCTGCAGCCTCTGCGCACGTCACTGCACGTGTCCACCCGGCCCGGGCAGGCGGCAGAGTGCTCAACTTTGGCTCGTCTCCTGTAGGGACCCGTGTGTGTGTGTGTGTGTGTGTGTGTGCGCGCATGCGCGTGCACATCAGCCTGTTTTACACGTGCCATTTGTGAGCATGTGCCTGGGTTGGAGAGGCTGCCAGCTTCTGCTGCATCAGGTTCTGTGGACATAAGCCTCCTTTCAGTGCAGTTCAACTGTATCAGTAATGGTAAACACTTCTCGCTGCTAGGTTTGTAACTCCAGATGTCTTTAGAAAACAGGAACCCCAGCTTAGCTGACCTCTTAAGTGGCGTGAACGTGCAGAGTGCTGGGTGTCTGCTGAGCCGCTGTTGCTGAGGGCTATGGGCCTGAGCCAGCCTCCCAGTCGTAGACAGAGGATGGAGGGTTGCTGCCTCCCATCTTGCTCCCTGTCCTCAAGCCTGCGCTGGCCGCAGATGGGGTGTGTGGAAGCAGGTGCACAGGTGGCAGCAGCAGGACAAGTCCAGCCATGGCTGCGCTGGAAGTGCAGGAAGAAGGAAACCACCTGCTCTTTATGCCCAGGACAAAGAGCCTCTCTTGGAGGATGCTTGTCATCATCACATCCCTGAGACCTGGATGTGACAGGGGCCTGCGCACTCAGCCATCCCTGAGCTGATCCCAGAGCTGTCCTGACAGTGCAGTGTTCAGGGTGGGGGGCGTGTGCAGCAGCGTGGCCCCAGGGCCCGCTCTGCATCCCAGCCTCGCCCCTGACACCCAAGCCAGGCCTCAGGCACCACAGATCAGAGGAGCGCGGTTCCCGCTCTCTCGTCAGCTCCGCTCTGCCTGGCGTTGGTCAGCTCCCGGCCTCGGGTCTCCCGGGACCCTGACCTAGGGAAGCTGCGTGTTTTTCTCAGCCACTAAAATGCACCTGAATCCTCAGCTTCGGCTCCAGCCAAGCCTTAGAGCATCGCTGGCCCACTTTGACCTGGTCAGCGCCCCCTCCGGGGCTTCCCCTTCTGCCAGCCAGGGCACGCCTCGCACAGCGGTTCCCTCGCACGTGGCTTTGGTGTCTGTCCACTCAAACCCTTTCTGACTGCAGTGACAGCTGCCCCTGCAAGCCCTGCGTCCTGCAGCTCCGGAGCAGCGTGTCCCACATGCAGATGTCCTGGCTGTCTGCACACAGAAGCATCCCTGGTCATGGAGCCCCCAACAACTCTGGCCTCATTCCCCAGGCCAGACTCACAGTGGGGTTCCCCAGCAGGAAGGCTTGCAATTAGAATTGAATGTTTTCTCCTATTGCGTCTTTAGCATTACTAGAAAGAGGACTTGTTTGGTTAGATTTTTTCTTTTCCAACCTATAAAAATGAGTTCCTCTGGAATAGAAACCTTTTCTGACTTCCCAAGACTAAACAGTAGCATGTCTGCATGCTGGGGGTGTGGGCCCTGCAACTGCACCTGAACTGCCCACCCTGGGCAGCCTGGCCCCAGGGCCTGGGGCCTGGGCAGAACACAGACACCCACAGTGCAGATGGGCTGGCAGGGGCCTTCCAGGTAAAGCCGCGGGATGTCTGATGCACCTGACGGTGGTTATGAGTGGAGCGACACCCACAAGGAGGGAGGTTATCTGTCACTCACGTGGAGAGTCTGGCTTTCCAAGGATGAGCTTTCTCACTGAGGAAATGACCCCCAGGCCCTGCCAAACCCAGAACTGTGCTGTTGGCCAGGCGCCTGTCGGGACAGCATCACCCCCTGAGTTCTCTGTGGGGTCTGAGTCACCAGGGACTGAGGCCCATCTTACTCTGCTCTGTGTGTGTGCCCGGTCTGTGTACCCGCCCGCCCCCCTCCCCCCACACAGCACTGTGTTCCCCAGACAGACACGGCCGACAGGCCCCAGTCCTGGGCACAGCCCCCCACCTGGCTGTCGCTCCAAGTGGACACCAGCACCTGTTGCTTCCCTGCTGTGGACACCGTGTGGGCATGGTCTGCTGCTGCACCTTGTGTTCACTGTGCACCTTTCAAAGAGTTCTTCGTCTTAACTCATTTGTTTTTCCTTCTCATTCCCTTCATTCTGGTCTCTGTGTAATCTCCAACCAATAGAAGTATATAAAGATGTACACGGGTGGAGTGAGCTCATTGGCTGAGCAGATAGCCAATCAGCTTCAAAGGAAAGAACAGCCCAAAACCCTTCTAGACAAGAAGGAACTGGTAAGCTCTGTACTGAGGAACCGTCTCTAGATGTAACGCGGCTGTGGCAAGCATGCCTGCCTCGATCTGAGAACTGCAGTGACACGCGGGGCCTGTGTGTGCCGAGGGCCCTCGTTTTTCAGTGTGTCTGAGTTCCGTGACTGAACCTCCAGGGCTGTAACCGTTGCTCAGCTAGAGTGTTGGTGGAGAAGCTTTCTCTGAGAGTGACAGCTCTGGAGGCCAGGGACCCGTGTCCATGCAGAAACACGCGAACAGGTCCTGGGCACTTTTACGTGACCTTCCCAGACAGTTCTGTCACAAGGATGCGGTTTGAGCTCCACGCAGCTCTGTCAGATGGACTCAGGTGTTCTCTGGGCCGCTGGCGCACGGGATGCGGCAGCACCTCGTGCTGAGTGCAGTGGGGCAGTCAGCGTGGCGGGCCGGGGGCAAAGGGAGTGTCTCGGGCGGCCTCGTCGCGGGGCCCCAGGGAGGCCTGTGGCCCTGGGGGCAGCCCAAGACGGCACCTTGATGCACCTGCCCCACCCTCTGCAGGGCTCCATGAAGAAGGAGTTCCCGCGGAACCTGGGAGGCAGCGACACGTGCTACTTCTGCCAGAAGCGGGTGTACGTGATGGAGCGGCTGAGCGCTGAGGGCAAGTTCTTCCACCGGAGCTGCTTCAAGTGCGAGTACTGCGCCACCACGCTGCGCCTGTCGGCCTATGCCTATGACATCGAGGACGGTGAGTCTCCCTCTCCCCCGTGTCTCTCCTGACCCTGCGCAGCTGTCTCTCCAGCCTTTGTTTCTCTCCACGGCGCTGATAAACAGTCCCAGTCCCCTAGAATCCTGGGACCACAGCCCTGCGTTGCACAGGGACTGGTAGTGAAAATGGCCTGGACGTAGTCGCCTCCCGTCCCCGAAGACACTGGGTACGAGGGGCAAGGTGTGGACCAGTCTGGTCTTGACTTTTGAGAAGGGGAATCCCGCCTGTTGTCTAAGCTCAGTGGCAGCACCGTGACACCAGACCCCCTGCCTGGGCTCTCAGGCATGGGGATGGGCCTCCTGAGGACGCTCGTCGCTGCTGCTTCCCCTCAGGGACACGAGCGGAGTGTGAGGTGGCACTCTGGTTGTGAAGATGAGACACGTGCCTGCAGAGCTGCAGCCACGTCGGGGCGTCTGGTGGGGCAGAGCTGTGGCGTGTAGGTTCTAACTCGAAGGACACTCGGGAGCTCGGGAGCCATTAGGAATGACTGACCCGACCTCAGGCTCCACACAGAGAGACATGCAAAGGGAAGAGCTGGCACACTTGGCGGTGGCAGGGGGGTGGGTGGCGGTGGTGTGGGGGTGGGCAAGGTCTGGCCAGCTGGGTAAGTGCCCTGCTCTTGACCTGGAGCAGGGAGACAGTGGGCTAACCCAGCTCCCCCAGGCTAACCTGGGTGGATTTTGTATCTGCTCCATCAGCCTCTCCACATAGGCCCAGTGAGCTGGAGAAGAGAGTGGAATTTTAGGAGCCTGTTCTCCAACAAAATCCCTGTGCGATTCAGAACTCAAACCACAGGGCCTCTGATGAGGAAAGAAAAGGTCGGGGAAGGTGAGGCTCAGGACAAAGGAAATCGCCCCAGTGCTGTGCCGGGCACTTCGGCACGTACAGGGTCATTCCCCCTTACACCACCCTGGGGGGCTGCTTCTGTCTGTAATTTTATGAGTCGGGAAGCTGAACTCAGAGGCTAGAAGTGGCTTGTCCGCCTTTGCACTCTCTGAGACCCCTTTCAGTTCAGCCGCTCGGCAGCAGTGACTCGGTGCCCGTGTCAGCTCCAGGTGGTGACCTGAGAAGCACACACTCCAGAAAAACACGCACGTCTTCCCCTTGTCCCCGTGGACTCTCCCCCTCAGCCGTTGTGAAAGGACACGGGCTGCCCTCAAAGTAAGCTGCTCTTTTGCTTGCCAAGTGCCAGCTTAGCTTTGACTGCTGCCAAGTTTGAAGACGAGAGCTCCAGATCAGACAGCATCGCAAGTCTCCCCTGTCGTCCTGAGAGGGAGCGCGTGCAGGGCCCCGCCCATCTCTGCCAGGCCCATCCTGGCCACACTGCAGCCCCACCCGGACTGCTGGTCCTCCCGCCTACCCCACTGTTGCCCCCATAGGCTGCTTCCACAAGGCAGCCGGGGCGTAAATCAGATCTCCCCAGTCCGAGTCTGCTACTATGCAGACGGCAGCCCGCCTTCCCAGGTGGAGGGCCTCTCATCCGCCGCCCTGCCCAGGTCTCCAGCCTCTCCGCTAGGAGCTGCCCCCAGCTCTCTGAGCCCAGCCACACTGGTCTCCTGTCTGTTCTGGACACACGGTTACCTCGCTGCCCGAGGACTTGGCCCTTGCTGTCTCCTCCCCTAGAGTGCACTCCCCCCACCTTCTCGGGGGTGTCCTGTCACTCACATCCTCAGAGAGGCATCAGCACACCTGTCCTGCAGGGCTCACCACCACCTGGTCCTGCTTCACACGCCACCTGCTCCCTCCACGCAGAGGCCAGGCTGTCTCCTGATGGGAGTGTCCTTGGTGATTAGCTTGCAACTTGGGATGTGATGGCACTGGGTGAATGAGTGCGGGGCCTAGCTTCCCTGGAGCTGTCTGTTTTCTCCAGCTCCCCTGTCCACCCACTTCCACACTCAGTCACCCCGATTCCACACTTTGTTCAGGCTGTGTAAAACCAGGGACTCGACTGCATCGGTTGTAACCTGTGGTCCGTGTGTCACACGGGTGTGGCGGGCGGTGTGGCGCAGTGGCTGCAAGGAGCACCTCCAGCGCCAGGCTTCTGATCCTGTCCAGTGATGGTGGGGTGGGGCCCCCGGGCAGGCTGCTTAGCCTTTCTGTGAAAGGCAGGTGAGAGGACTGACCTCACTGGACTCTGAGGAGTGAATGAGTTGATGTAAAACAGTTATAATAGAGTCTGGCGCATGGTCAGTGTCAGATAAAATGAGCTCTTTTTGTAGTCAGCCTGAGAAGCAGGAAGCACACAAGGCCGAGTGTGAGGAGGAGACCCGTCCGCGGGCGCCCGAGCCCTGGGATGCGTGGCGTCTCCCTTCCTCACCTGGGTCGAGGGTGTGGGGCAGGTGGGTCTTCGGGTTCCGTGGAGGAGCAGAAGCCGCATGGTTCACACAGCTGTTGAAAGGTGGAGACAGTTCAAACTGCGGTCCAAGGTCATGTTCCTGGAAGAAACAAGGTTCCGGAATGTCTTTGAAAATGGCCTTTGGTTGGGCTCGTGGGACTTGTGTTTAGAACCTAAACCGTTTGTCCTTATTAATTTAGGATATCGTAGCTAATTCTCTGAGCATCCGCTGGCAGGCTAACCTGTTCTGTTGTATTGTAAAATCTAGGATTCTACTTTAGTAGGACAAAGCAAATTAGCGCAGGGGAAAGAGTGGAAGAAAGAAAGTAACCATAACTGTGATTTTCTGATACTATAAGAAGCAAGACTCTTGGTCACAAGTAACAGGGCCCCAGTCAGATTGGAGCTAGGTGTTGGGTTCACGTCTCCCTTCCGGTGGGGCCTCGGGGAGGGTGCCCCCTGCACCACCCATAAGAACCCCAGAAGGCTCTCGGTAGCCCAGCTCAGCCACATGCCAGCCCCTGGAGACCTGGGTGGGCTGCCGGGGAGGGTGTTCTGCCTGGCTCCTCTGGGCCGCACGCCCACCTCTGGGGCAGGCAGCGCCGGGCTTCGCAGTCGGGAGCCACGCTGGAGTCACGTAGACAAAGCACAGAGAAGTAGTGTGTGATGTCAGCACTCACACGTTTTTCCTGATTACATTTTATCTGAGTCCAAGTTCACGGTGAAGTGGTTTATTACAGATGGCAAAAGGAGACTGCGTCCCAGCAGAAAAAACCTGCCCACGGCCACGCTTCCCCGCAGGGACGTCGGCAGTGAGGTGGCCGGGCCTGGCCCGTCTGCCGGCCGCCGTGTCTCCGGGTTCTGACTGAGTGCCAGGGGCGACTGGAAATGCTACATCTGTGAATGTTGCATGAAATTATGGAAGTTCATAAACTGTGTTTTTTTAAAAGATTTATTCAGTGTTGCAGGGGAGTACAGATAAAAGAAAAACAGAAATCAGTTTCTTTGAAGGAAAAAATACAAGCAGATCACCAGCCAAAGGGGGAAATGGAGAATTTACCTGGGACCTCCCCTCTGTCGGCTTTTTCTCCCCCACCCCCAGCTCCACTGGGATGGAGCTGACGCGTAACATCGTGTGAGTTTAAGGTGCTGGTTTGGTGCATTGCTAACTACGCTGGTTGCCACCACAGTATGGGCCCCTCTGGGCTGTCCCATAGTTGCTACCATCCCCTCCCCCCAACAACCTTCAGTGCAGCGCCCAGTGCTGTGAGCGACAGCCCCCATGTGGGGCACACCAGACCCCCACCTGGCCGCTCTCCTAACGGGAACGCCGTACCCTGCACCTTGTCCCCACCCCTCCAGCCTGGCAGCCACCCCTCCACTGCGTTTCTCTGGGCGTGTCTTTCTAGGTGACACATGAAATGACGTCACATCGTGTTTGTCTTTACCTGTCTGGCGCATTGCACTGAGCCCAGTGCCCACGTTGCCGCAGACACCAGTTCCCTTCTGGGGGACCAGCAGCACTTCGTCGTGCGTGTCTCCCTTCCCCACACTCCCACCCCTTGGGTGCTGGGAGTGACGCTGCTGTCACATGGGTGCAGGCGTCTCTGCAGGGTCTCGACTTCAGGTTCTTTGGATAACCCCCTGGGAGCGGAGCTGCTGGACCTTATGGCGGTCTTATTTTTAGCTTATCGGCCCTCCGAACTGTTTTCCACAGTGACTGCACCAGACCACAGGCCCACCCTCAGTGCTGAGGGCTCCCTTTTCCCCACACCCTCGCCCCCACTCACTCTCGTCGGGTTGTTGACAGCCATGGTGACGGGCACGAGGTGACACCTCATGGTTTCTTTCACATCTCCCTGACGAGTGGCACTCCCCTGTCAGCTGTCTGCTGGCCATTTGTGTGTTGCTCTGGAAAACCAGTTGATTCAGGTTGTTAGATTTTGTGCTGTTGAGCTGTGTAAGTTATTTACATAGTTCGGACATTAATCCCTTGTCAGGCATGTGATTTACACACCTCTTCTCAATCAGTTGGTGGTTTTTCATTTCACTGATGGTTTCTTCAGCTTGTGGGAGCTTTTAGTTGAACACAGTCCCACTTGCTTATTTTTTGCTCTTTGCTGTGCGTTCGCCATCGCATCCAGAAAACGACCTCCAGGCCAGTGTCCGGGAGTCAGTCCCCTCGGCTTCTGGGAGGTTTACAGCCTCAGGTCTCATGCTGGGGCTTCCGTCCGTTTCGGGGTCACTTTTGCGAGCGATGCCACTCTCCCCACTTTCCCAGCACCGTTGACTGGAGAGATTCTTTCCCTGTTGACCCCCTCGGCCACTTGTCAGAATCCACGGACTGTCCGTGTGGGTTTAGTTCCAGGCTCCTGACTCTGGCCACTTGGTCTGTGTGTCTGCTTTCCTGCCGTGATCATCCTGCCGTGACACTACAGCCTCGAAATAACGTCGGAAGGCAGGAGCGTGGGAGCTCCAGCCTTGGTCTTTCTCAGGGTGGCTGCTTGGACTCCTCAACGTCTTCTGTGGCTTCACACACACGGAGGACTGTTTTTCTAGTTTTGTGGAAAATGCCCTTAGTGTTTTCTTAGGGGTTGCGTTGAACCCATAGATTGCATTGGGTGGTGTGGACATTTTAATAATATTAGTTCTTCCTACGCATGAACTTGGGACGTCCTGCCAAGCATCATCTTCGGTTTCTTTTACCAGCGTCCTGTCATCTTCGGTGGACAGGTCTCTCACCCCCGGTTAGATTTATTCCTGAGTGTTTTCTTGTTTTTGATGCTGCCGTAACGGGATTGTCTGTGTCTTCTCCGGATGTTTTGTTGTTAGCCTATTGAAATGCATCTGTTTTGGGGGGTATGTTGATGTTGTATCCTGAAACTTTACTGAATTCTTTGGTTAGTTCTAGAAGATTTGTGGTGGAGTCTTTAGGATTTTTCCCAGACGAGGTCGTATCATCCGCAGACAGAGACACTGCTACGTCTTCCTTTCCTGTGTGGGCGCCTCCGTTCCACCTCCTTGTCAGGGGCCCTGGCCGGGACCCCCAGCTCTCTGTCGAAGGACTGTGGTGAGAGTGGGTGTCTCCGTCTCGTTCCCAGTCTCAGAGGGAGCCTGCCAACCTCTCACCCCGAGCATGGCGTTGGCATGGGCTCTCACGAGTGGCCTCCATTATGTTGAGGTGTGTTTGTTCTACATTGAATTTGTGGAGCACATTTTCATGAAAGGATGCTGTACTTTGTCAAATGCTCTTTCTGAATCTGTTGAGATGACTGCATGATTCCTATTTTTCTTTCTGTGATGGTAACGTGGTGTTCCACTTGTATGGATTTGCATATGTTCAGTCACCCTGCGTCCCAGACCTGAAGCCACTTTGTGATGCCGAGTGACCTTCTGCATGCGGTTGGAATGCCGTCTGCTACTGTTTGTCGAGAAGCTTTGCGTCAGCGCTCATCAGGGACGTGAGTCTGTTATTTTCTCCCTCGCGGTGTCCTTATCTGGCTTTGGTTTCAGGGCGGTGCTGGCTTTGTAGCAGGAGTTCGGGGGTGGTGCTTCCTGTTCAGGGTTTTGGAAGAGTCTGAGAAGGGTTGTGTCGGGCCTTTCCACACTTGGTGCCGTTCCCCAGTGAAACCGTATCTGGCCCTGGGCCTCTGCCTGGGGAGGGTTTTGGTTACTGATTCAGTCTTCTTACTTCGTCTTGGTCTGTTAAGATTTTCTGTTTCCTCGTGACATAGGTTCATGGTGGGTGGTGTGTTTCTAGGAACTGACTTACCTCTTCCGGCTTATCCAGCTTGTTGGCATGTCCTGGTTCACAGGAGTTTCCCACAGTCCTTTGAATTCCTGTGGTACCAGTTGGAAGGTATCCTTTTTCGTTTCTGATTTTATTGTCTTCTCCTCTCGCTGTTTCTGAATCACTCGAGTAAAGGTTTGTTGATTTTGTTTCTATTGTTTCTGTTCTTAAAAACAGCTCTAGTGTTACTGACCTTCCCTACTGTTTTTCTGGTGAGGGTTCCTTATTTCCACTTTGAGAGCAGTTTGCTTGTCCAAGGAGCCCTTGCTCCTGAGCGGAGCGTGACGGGGCCCCCACCACAGCTTGTCTGTGGTGTTCAAGAGCCAGCTTCAGTGGGAGCAGAGCAGAGTCCGGGAGAATGACCCTTTGTGACCAGCTCCCACCCCCAGCGTCTGGGGAAAAGCCACAGTCGGTGCTTCTCAAACCCCTGACCGTGGGAGTGCGTGCTGTCCCAGGACCCTGTGACACAGGCAGACACGGCCGGACGCTGTAAGGAGTAACTCCAGAGGTTTAGCCCTGGTTCTGTGCTGTGCACTCTAATGCTTTCCTTTCTGTTTTATTTTGCTTCGCTGTTTATAGTCCACTGCAGAGTCGGTGGGCTTGGTCTGCGCTGCTTGTGGACGCGGTGAGGTCACTCGGTGCGGCGTGAGCCGTGCTGGCTGGAGGTCCTGTCAGGATCAACTGGCGTCCAGTGCCGCCCATGCAGCCCCCACGCCGCCACCCTGTGCCTGGGTTCATTCTTGGTTTCCCCAGAAAGGCCGCTCTCCCTTCTCATGTGACCCCGCTTTGTTCCACACACACACTGCTGCTTTGTGTGCGGCACCCCCACTCGCCCCCAACCCCCTGCACTGTGCCAGCCTGGCGTCAGGCACTGGCTGGGGGTTGGCCCAGCAGCTTCACCTATCAAAAGGAAGCCCTTCCCCTTTAGGTAAATCAGAGTTTTAGGGGGGTCTGGCCTCCCAGGACAAGAAGCCTGAGTCCGGGGGTGGAGGCTTCCTGTGGCCGAATGGTCAGGAGTGAAGTTCAGAGTCACGGAGCCATGCTCACGCCCCTTTCCCCTGCCTCTTGCCGCCTGCAGGTAAATTCTACTGCAAACCTCACTACTGTTACCGCCTGTCCGGCTCCGCACAGAGGAAGAGACCAGCGGTGACCGCCCTGTCTGGGAAGGTAAGGGTCCTCCGCCCTTGCGGGAGCAGCAGGCCCTGAATGCTTTGGCATCGGGCCCAGTCAGGGTGCAGCCGCGGCGCCTTCTGAGCGGGCGTGGAATTGCCCCTCCGGGTGGGGACAGTGCTCTGGAGAGCATCCTTGGTCCAGTTCGGGGAGGGGGCATATCACTGGGTCCACGGTCTGTCGCTCTCCCTTCTGTAACCGAGAGTCAGTAGCTCCTCCTTCAGTTTCTCTGCTGCTGGGTGTTGCCCAGTCAGTGTAGGTGGACCGTGGCCTGTCCCCTGCAAAGTGTTGTGGGAGGAGGTCTGGTGGGTGGAGCCAGGTGTCAGCCCCTCAGGAGGTGCCTGAGGAATGGCTTTTGAAGGAGGGCCTACTGTGTGAACAGCACGGCTCTGGGCTGTTGGGCACCCTGCCTCCCGAGCTCAGCGGCTCTGGCCCCTCACTCTTCTCCCTGTGGACTTTCCTAGGATGCCAGAGCACCCCTGCAGGAGGGCCCGGTGGCAGACGCAAGTGGACGGGCCAGCGGTGCTGCTGGCCCTGCAGAGAGAACTCCAGGTAGCCTTACTTCCTTGTTTGGCTGGGTGGCAAGTCACTCGCTGGGCCTGTGTGACAAGGCCAGGGGGGTGAGCCAGCACCTCCAAAGCAACATTTCTGCGATTGGGCTTCAGGTGGCCCAGAACCCCCTGGACTCCTTTTTCATGTGCCAGCTGCTCGCATTCGGAGTCCCCTTTCTCTATGGCCTGTCGGAGGTGCTGGTGCAGATCCGCGGGGAGTTTCGCGGGCAGGCCGGGGCCGGCCGGGGCGCTGTCTGGTGAACGAGCGGGGCCCGAGTCTGCTGCACCGCTCAGTGTCGCTGTAGCCGTCAGACATTCGAGGGTGGCTGCTGCAGGCTCCGTCCAGGTCGCCAGGACTCCAGAAGCGGCGGCCCTGCACTGGCCCCGTGTGAGCACAGAGTGGCAGGGCCCCTGGCGGTTCCAGCCCGGGACTCCCGGCGGAGCACAGAGGCAGATAAGCGCCCATGGTTTGGATTGGCATGCACCTGAACTCGGAACTCTGGCCTTCCGCTCCCTATTTAGGTGTGTTGGTGGGCTGACACTTGTCTGCTCTTTGACCTGTGACCACTGAAGGTCGTGCCCTGCCCGCTGGGGGCACAGGACCTCCTCAGGAGGACAGAACTCTGACTGTGCGGTCACTCCCCTTCCTGTGTTGGGGCGGGGGCGCCATCCCTCCAGCAGCAGTCTCTCTGGTCTCAGGGTGGGACTTGGGGGGCTCATGGGCACCCCGCTCACTGTGAAGAATTGCATTTTCCCTTAAAACTGCCTCTCTCTGCTGCACGTCCAGCCAGCCTGTGTGACACTCCCATGAGTCAGCCCAGCGCCGGCGGGGGTGGGGGGAGGCGGGAGGCCAGCAGGGCCATGCATCTGCCCCATGTTTCCTCTCAGGCAAAGCAGATGCATCGAAAGCAGCCGTGTAAAGATTCACGAAATCTACTGTGTAAAAACTAAAGACGATCAGCTAGTGCCAGGATGGTGGAGAAGGCAGGGGCGGGAAGAGACGAAGGTTACCCCTCCGCTTTCACATGAAAAGGCCCAGGGCCACCTCTTTCCCGTGTGGAAGAGCTGGTGTGTGTCTGGGAGAGGCGGGTGCACCCCAGGGGACCCCAGCGCAGGGACTGGAGGCCAAGCGCGGTGAGCTGGGCTCCTCCCCCTGCGCAGGCCCTTTTTATAACCAGGGAGGCTTTCTCAGCACCCTCCAGGTTGTACCACGTTTTATGGCCACAGAAGGTTCTGGAACCTTTTGTAGCCTTGAGCCCTTTATACTCTGCTGTCCTATGAAGGGCTGACAGACCTTTGCCAAACACAGGAAGCGCTGGCAGAGAAAAAGCCAAAGGATCGAGCCCGGTCAGCGTCCCGTGCACCAGGATGTGCTTCTGGCCAGGTCGTGACCCAGCAGAGACGGGTTTTCTAGGGAGCCTGGCTGCTCCGTAAGACAGTCCCAGGGATGGAACCTTCCTTCCGGGTGCAGAGCACAAGACAGTCTTTAAAAGGAGCAGGCTCAGGGGCTCGGGCTCCCCGGAGCAGCCTGCGTTTGTCCCCTTCCGTCTGGTTCAGTCGCTGTTGGGCAGCATCGTGGGTCTCAGGGATCCGCTGAGGAGGAGAGTCCCTAAGAGCAGGGAGAGGACATGAGAGTGGGGTAGACGGTCACCTCCTTGGCAACGTGTCCCCCCACCCCAGTCTTGATGGGGGCGGTGCAAGTTGGCAACGGGGTTAAAGAATCAAAACAAACCAAAACTCAAGGCCCTGAGTTAAAATCAGTCCCCAAGGTTCTGTGCTCTGAAGGTGACTGACTTGCCTGTTGTAGCCCAAGGGACCCGAGCTGTGGCATCTCAGACCCAGAGCCCGAGCCCCGGGTGAGGGAGGCAGGCACCGCTCTGTGGAGGGGGCCCGCCAGTGGAGGGAGGGCCAGGCCTGGGTCTGCTCCAGAGACGGGGGCTGTGGGGCTTTGCTGGCAGCCTCTCCAGAAAGGGACAGAGGCGGGGGTGGTCTTTCATAGTTGCCATGGGAGAGATTTGTTTTCTCCTAGGACAGGGATTTCCTTCTTCGTGTCCCAAATTAAGCTTTGATCGGTTAACTAGAATCTCCTTTTGGAAAAGCTTTGGAAAAACCCAGGGTTTTGGCGTCCTCGAGTGTGGTAGATGGTGGCCATGACCCCAGGCCCAGGGCACAGGCGCCCCACTGTGCTTGGGAGGGGAGAGAGCTGCTCGAGGGAGCTTAGCTGTGCTGAGAGCAGAGGCCCGCCCCGCAGCCGCGGCAGTGCCCCGCCCTTCCCCTTCCTCGTGCGCAGCTCTGCCCTCTCCCGTGGGTCCTCTGCCCGTGCACCGAAACCACGGCTGGTGCCCAAAACACAGCCAGCCACCCGGGTCCGCGTGGACTCTAGGCCTGCAGTGCCGTGTGGTCCTTCCGTGGTCATCCCGTCTGAAGCTGCTGCCTGACTCGGGGTCTGGAGAGCGTTGTTGGCCGTGCTGCTGTTGTGTGCTTGGGTGCAGAGACTCTCTTCTGTCCTCAAAGCCTGTAGACCCTTCGTTCCCCTGCGTCCGGCCCGTGTCCACTGCAGGTCAGGCCCTCTCCCAGAGTGCCTTTCCTGGGCCCCACGCACCCCGCCCTGACCTCAGGAGAAGTCTGGGCACCAACCGGCAGAGAAAGGAAAACCCCACGTGGGCTCTTTCCCACCTGAATGCGTGACCCTGAGCCCCACGGAGCCTTTTTTTTTTGTCCAGAGGAGTCCCGGTCACCTCTCAGGGGGTGGATAACCAAAAATGGGGCGACAGACGGACGGACGGGACGAGGGAAACCCTTTGTCTGTTGTCCTCTGAGGGAAAAGGCAGCTTTAACCTAAAACGGGCCTCTCCGAGAGAGGACCGCCTGGCAGGTGCCTGCTCCCTTCCCCCGGCACCCCTGCCCAACGCTGAAAGGGCGCTAGAAACGCGGGCGTTGCTTTGCGCCCCAGCCGGAAGGGCCCTGCCATGTGGCAGTGCAGGCGTTCAGTCCCGGCTCCTGTCGGGATGTCTCTTCCTGCCCCCGCCGGGGGTCCCCGAGGGGCGTCTCTGCAGAGCCTGCTCACAGAGCAAAGAGACGCTGCAGCCCAGCTGAGCCCCCCGGCCCTGCCCGGGAGTCGTAGTCAACAGTGATGTGTGGTGTTCATGTCTGTACACATGGCTATTTATAGAGACCTAATTTCGTGTATATATATATATATGTATATGAGCAGATATCTATATATTGTGACTTCAGTAATAATAACAATAATGATGAAGCTGCTTCTAAAGTTCCTTCTTCCTTGGTTCTGGAAACCAAGGGATTGAACTTGGCAAGACAACCCGGCCGGGGTGCAGCTCTGCTCCGCCTGGGAGGGGGCCGGGAGGGAGCTGAGCAGCCAGCACGCCCCGTGCCGGTGGGACTCAGGGTCGGTAGCTCAGAAACTGGGCAGGACCCACTCCCAGCCTCAGGAAGTTGGTTCAGGAGCAAATTGTGGAGATCCAGGTTCTGCTGGGGAGACTCCACAGAGAACCCTAGCCCCCCACCCCCACCCCACTGTTCTCAGGCTCAGCTGTGGCTCCACTGGGCTGCTCGTTGCCGCTTGGTGTCCAGTGTGTCCCTGAAAGGGCCCCCTCTCCACGCCCTTCAGCTCAGGATAAAGGAAAAGGTGGGGATGGGGAGCAGCAGGCGGGCCCCCATGCGGGGCCCACAGACGCCCAAGTGAGTGAGTGAGTGAGCGAGCAAGGGAGGGCTGCTGAGCCCAGGCGCGCCCCACCCACCTCTGCCTGCCCTTCCCCAAAGCCTTCACTGTGCTCTCGTTTTTAACCTGTGCTGTCTGAGTTTTTGGTGTGTTTCTTTGTGAGTTTTTAATTTAACTGTGTAACTTTGTTTTCTGCAGTTTCTGTGAAACTAAGGTGTTGTGCTCTTAATTTTTTAACAAGTGTTACCATTCCTAAGAGAATAAACTCCAAACAATCTTCAGGTTTCTGAGTTTTTCTTTTCCTTCCCTTTCTCCAGGTTGGAGTGGCGAAGAGGGCAGGGCAGGTGGGCAGGGAAGAGACAGGGCCACACTGAAACGGGGAACCTGAGTGGGGGTGCCTGGGGTGTGCACGGTGCCGTGTTCGGGCCTGGAAGGCGTTTTACTTTGTAGCAGCTGTGGGTGGAAAAGGAGGAGAAAATGCCCCCATGTCCCACATTTGATTGGCCAGCATGAGAGCCAAGGACAGAGCTGATGGAGGGTGGGCGTTCCATGCCCCGCGAGGACCCTGCTTCATCTCTGGGGCGACCTGGACTGGGAGCAGCTCCGCTCCCTCTCCAGCCTCGGGGGCTTTTTGCGGGAGGGGCAGGGGGCCCCACCCCTGTCCCGCTCCTGGTGCCTGAGGCTCTTACTCTGTGCTCCATGCCAGCTTTGCTGGGGCCCAGACACTGAGCTGGGGTGCCCTGGAGGGACATGCCTGTCCCTGCCTGCCCCCCCCCCATAGTGCTGTGTGGGCACGGTGGCACAGCCCAGCTCCGTGCTGAAGGGGCCCACAGAGGGCGGCGTTCGGGGGCACCCGGGGCCAGGTCTGCTCCTGATGGGCTCTAGGTCCCTGGTGTCTGCGTCACCAAGGCCTGCGGCCTCCTGGGACGCAAGGAGCTGCGTTGGCAGGGTCCTGGGTGCGCCTGGCAGGGAGGGCCTGCGTCCATGCTGAGCTCTCAGCTCTTGAGAGCGCGGATGTCTGTTGCCCTTTGAACCTCAGCGCTGCCGGCTCCAACTGTGTGCCAGTGGAGGGTTTCAGTGGCCTCCCTCGGCCTTCTCATCCCCCGACCCCCAGGCCTCAGCCCGTTGGTCCCACTCTCTGAAGTCAGTCAGTCAGTACCCAGGAACCCGCACCAGGCCGAGAGGAAGAGCTTGGGGCTGTGGGGGGCACAGCAGGTCACTGTGAGTTGACTGCGGGTCGGCATGGGGAGGGGCAGGCATGTGTGTGTGACCCTCAGGCTTGAGCCGTGGCTGCCGTGGCTGTTCTGGACCGTGCAGGG